AAATGGTATAGCAAGGAATATTCCTTTAACAATAACAAGTCCACCCATAAAGCTCAACGATCTTAAGCAATAGGTCCCGCTTTCGATCCCTGGTTCAGGCAAAACTTAATTTGCTTGTTTGCGTAAAGAACTTCAGGGTGTTTGATTGAGTGGTCCACAACACGTAAAAAGGCTGTGGTATGTACTTGTATGACTATATATGAGTGCACAAAAAAGGGCTCCTTCGAGGAGGGGTTCCTGGGTCTGCCATCCATGATTACATGCGTTAATAACGACTGTATACGGAATGTACCCAAAAGCTATTGCTCACCTTCATTGGTGGTAAATAAAATACAATACAATACAATACAATACCATACGTTACATTACGATACGATACAATACGATACAATACAATACTATAGACTTTGAATGTTGATTACTAAAAAAAACATGAACAAACCTCAGATTAAGTTTGAAATATATGTTCATCATAATAATTTTGGAATTAATAAGTAACAAAATAACTAACCTCCCATTTGAATCATTAAAGCTGAACTCGGCAACACCGAATGTTTTTATAACCTGTGGGAAATGCTGTAGCCTCTCTGTTCTAACAGGTCTGACCTTGACGTTGACTTCTGTCACTGCTGACAGAAAGCAGGTCTGGTAGGCTGGGATGAAAGCCTTCAATTTTGTTCCCACTGGTACAGGATTCACTGAAAACATTAGAATTGTTACAGGCCCGTTGCCAGAATTCTCCAAGGGGGATTCACTTTTCCAAAAAATTCTAGGGGGGGTTCACTTCGCAAATTTGGCCAAAAATCACTCAGAAAATAGTCAGAATGGTAAAAAATTCATGATTTTGTAAGAAATTTTGGTCAGGGGGGAGTTCGCCCGAACCCCCTGGCTACGGGCCTGCGTTACATATATGATGCCAAGATTGCAGTTCAATTTTAGCAATGGTTTTATAAAGATGAAGATGCAGAATTGAAAATCATTTTCATATGAATTGAATCTTCAGGTTAAAAATATACTTGTGAATAAAATAAAATTATAAATAAAACTAATGTGATAAAATTAAACTTAAAACTGAATGGAGATCCAAATTATAGAATATTGGATATTAATTTGAATATTAACTTACAACAAAGGTCTTTATCCTCATCTGATCCATCCATACAGTCAACTATACCATCACAACCCTATATTTAAAGAATCAAAAGGTGTATATATAATATACAGATAAACCTGTTTTTTCTGAAAACCTCTCAATATGAACCGTTTTTTCAGTCCCAAAAAAATTAATTCTTAGGAAGGAGTAAAATTCATTCATAGATATATAGAAAAAGGAATTTCATGATCAAAACAGATATTGTAACTCTATAACCAATTGTAATAGTGACTACTACCGTAGCATTACCATTTGTACTTACAAATAGCCTGTGTATACATTCGCCAGAGTGAAGGCAGCGAAGATGTCCTTTCGTTGAACATGGGTCAGCTAAATAAAATTATGTTTTAAATTTAGTTATCTGTTAGTAGCTATATTCAATAATGATAACAAGTAGCTTTATTCAATTATGATAACAATTAGCTTTATTCAGTAATGATGATAAGTAGCTGTATTCAATAGTGATAATAAGTAGCTTTATTCAATTATGATAACAAGTAGCTTTAATCAATAATGATAAGAGCAAAGATGTCTATCATTAGATGTCCTTGATAAGAGGTAGCTTTATTCAATAATGAACTTAAATACAGTATACAAAACTATGGCACTTTGAATATGGACTGAGAAACATTGCTATTGATCTATTTATATATAACATACTACATGTAGTTTACAACATTTTTAAATTTTAGAAAATCAGCCTTTTACCCTCAAAAATGTATGAGTGATAATCATTTGTACTCACATGGCTCATTACTCACATAGCTCTTTACTCAAATAGTTTATTACTCACATAGTTTATAGACTGTTTCATACATGGCTTTGGATGTTCGCTTAACATTCGATAATCTTTCCAGTTTGAATTTATTTTCATTTAAAATATTTTCGTAGTTTTTCTCAAGGCTAGAATCAAAGAATTATTGCATATTAGTACATATTCATACAATAGAAAGAATGGGAAAACTATGTTGGAGGTTACATATACATCCTTGTAACAAATAATTTCCCCAAATTAGTGGTTAGTTATTCCCAACATTTCTCTTTTTATTATAAAATATTTATTTGGTGTTACGGCAATAATCTGTTTTTTCATCAAATGTTGTATCACTATTTATATAAGAAATATAAGATAATAAAAAACATAGTGTATAACATAAAAGAAATGCGAGCAATGTGTGGATGTATACTTTGTGTTTATTTCTGTGGGTGAATTTAAAATTAAAGCATTTGGTTATCTAGCTTGCAACAATACACATAACGTTTTAGAAGCAGCAGAAGCATGTTCTGTATTGGGCATCCTAATATAAAGCATTTTGTCTGTGGGGGTTCTTTCCTATTTCTTGATAACATGGTTGATGAAAAGCTTTTCTTTCTTTTTTACTTCTCTTTTGCAAAAGAATAGGTCTTACTAAGGTTAGAAAAGCTAGGAAGTCAATCTGTAGAAGCATATAAAAAGGCACATATCTACAATTGAAAAACAACTTTTATATGCATTTTGTTTTGAAATAATAAAAAAACACATACGTACCCATCAATGATACGTTCCTGTTGGTCAAGTTTATTCTTTATGATCTCTGGTTGAACTTGGGGTTGAGATGCACTTAGCTTGCAATCACATTCTGCCTCAACCAAGCTTCTTGTGTGGTAAATACATACCAGCACAAACAGTAAGATCCTCATATTCAACATATTAATGAAGATGTTTTCAGGTAACAGAATTGTGAAATTATTTAATATTAGTATAACGTGGCAGTTTAAAGTCCCAGTGAAAGTCTAGGTTATGAGGTATGGTGAGGTTGACATTAGTAAATGATAAACCAATATTTTGTCTGATTTCTTTTATCGAGTCATCTTTGAATAGTGTTATAAACCTAAGTTTAGTAATATCATGTATGAACATTCCTCTTTCTAATTAATACAGTTATGATTTAGTGATAATTATCCCATCAAACGAAGTTCGGAAGGATATAGGGAACGCTTCCGTTCGTCCGTACGTATGTACGTCCATATATAGGTCCGTCCATCCAGGCAATAACTCATATACTGTTGGCTGGATTTTGTGTATATTTTGAACACATATACCCTATGGGGGTAGAAGTTCAGCTTGAAAGCCAATTTTCAAAATGGCTTCTCATCTAAAAATGGTGGCCATTTAAGTGCTGATTTTCAGTAATTAAGGTACAATATGTAAAACGGTAATAGCAATATGTTTTAAATGTAAAGAAATTATAAAGGACATTAATAAAGCTAGAAATGCAGATACCGAAAAAGAACATGGCAGCCATCTTGAAAAATGGGGGCCTTTACACGCTTTTTTACGATTTTTACTGTAACTTGAAAAGTAGTGGAGTGATTTTGTTCATATTTGGTATGTGAATACTATAAGCATGGCTCACTGTCTTATGATGTTTTTGTTAGAAGGCGGCAATTATTTATGTTTTGTACTATAACACGAAAAGTAGTGCAGCAATTTTTTTCATATGATATGTGAATACAATAAGCAAGGCACAATGTCAAATGACACTTTGTGGAGTAGGAGGCCATATTGAAAAATGGCCACCAATTTTTTGTATGTTTGTTATTTTATGTTTTTTACTATAACTCAAAATGTAATAGAGCAATTTTTTTCATATTTGATATGTGAATACTCATGGCACACTGTCTTATGACATTTTTGGCAAGTAGGCGGCCATTTTGAAAAATGGCCACCATTGACATGTACAGTATGTGTGTGCGATTTTGTTGAAATTTTATAAATGCCTACTTAGAAGCATAATACACTTTCTGATGACAATTTGGAACAATTTTGAAAATGGTGCCCATTTTTTGTGTGTTATTTTATGATTTTATGCTATATACTTTGTTTGTAAATATGTCAGCCATGGCTGTTTCGATAAGATTTGCTACGCTTTGGCAATGCTGTTGTCTAGTTAAACAAAAAAGTAAAACTGTAAAACACTTATACTTTTCTATTCTAGACAGACTAATTTGTACACCTTTCAGTAAACATTTTCAGCCAGTCTTTGAATCATTTATTTTAGCCATCAGGTATTAGGCCATCAGAAGGAGATTCTTTGTTTTGCGTCCCCTTGCTTGCACGATTTTGAGTAAATCAGAAAAAACAAACACATCCAAATAGCAGTCTCAAGGGTCTGAAAGTACCATCGCATTTTGTTCAATCAGAATCAGATGAAATGCCGGATACTTTGATGTGCATCAAAATTGACAGTGTTATTGATTACTTTGGCATACATCCCTTTTTATCCCCATAAAATGTATACATTTCTCAGCAAACAAGCTTGTGTTTTTTCTTGAGTTTGTGTAGAAACATAGAATCTACTTCTTATGGCCTTATTACATATTGTTTTCCATTGTTCAGTGGTGCATGAATGCATATTTTTAAATGGAATATCAATGGCTTTTTCCATCTGGTGAGAAAAATATGAACATAAGGGGGAAATTAGCATGTATTGAGGGGAGATAAAAGCCACAGAATGACTTTATATCAAGTTCAGTAAAACTTGTCTTAGTTAACAACTCTCTCTTGTGAACACCTATGTCTAGTGAACACTTCTTCTCACCACATTCTCGAGTGAGTTCTGTTTAAAATTGCCCCTCTGTAGTGAACACCTACCTTTAGTGAACACATTTTTGTGGTTCTATAGGTGTTCACTGTATAGAGATTTTACTGCACAGCTGTATCTTTCATATCATTGACTGAAATCCTCTGTCACTGAGGATCATCCCAATCTATAAGTAAGGGGTATGTCAATATCCATTAATGCCTCTAATCTATTTAACTTTTGACGCTATTCGTTTCATTTTTCTTTGTTTTATCTGTTTCTAGGTGTCGTGTATCAGTCTGAATGGATCCAGTGACAGACTAGCATCAGGTCAGACAGGAACGCAGAGTGTAGTTAGAGTCTGGGACTTTGAATCTACACAATGTCTTGCAATGTTTAAAACACACTCACATTCCATAAATTGTCTCAGGTATGACATGCTCCAGTATTATTAATTTCATGTTTTATCAATTTGATTCTCATAAAATTAAGAATATTGTTGAAAGCAAAATTATGGGGTACAAAATACTTTTGGAAAATACAAACATACAAAAATTAATTAAATGCTTTTAAAACTATGATGTTCCTTATAAAAGTAATATTTTGTTTTCAGCTTTTCACATAGTGGAAATGTGTTGTGTGGTGTAGGAAAAGACAGTCACAGTAAAAATGTAAGTTTGAAATAAAAAGCTATTTAATAAAAGCAATAATCTTTATTCGAGATAAAATGGCAAATGAAGACTCCAGAATTTATCAAAATTTCTGCAATTGATATTAAATTCTTGACTACCTTGTACCTTGAGTGACAAGATTTCTTGTCACCTCAGATATGACCTTGAAACCCAGAATGACAAAATAATCCGTCACCATATTTTTCACTAAAATTGCTCTTATTTGAATAATTTTTATCCAATATACACAAAGATTGTTTGAAATGTGTAGAAATGATCTCTGCCGTCTAATTTTTACTGAGTTGAGCATCTAAGGTTGTATAGGTATGTAGTAAAATGTCAAAATGTGGCAAAAATAAAAAATTCTCTGGTTTCAACCGATTTTAGAGCCTGGGATTCAAGAGGTTAGTAGTGGATTGGTTATTAAAAACAGCTGTAAATTTTTTCCCTTCAATTGGAATTCATCCTAGCCTATGATGGGGTGCTTTGACTTTTGACTGATTCACAATGCATGTGTGTGATTATAAAACCTGGCTTATTATGACAACTATGTGAATTGGTGACAAGATCTGCTGAATGATTGATATCTAATTCTAGATGGTTGTTATGTGGAACACCTCATGTGTACATAAAGGTGGAGAAGTAACAGTTATGGCCAAGGCACATACAGAAGTTGATATACTTCGCATGAGAATTGCAACTTTTGACGATACAAGGTACTGAGGAGGAGGATTTATTTTGAATTTAAACAATTGTTGTATATTTAAAAAACTAACATGTGACTTAGCTTGACTTGATTAATTGTGATTGCTTGCCTCTTAAGCACATTATCTTTAAAATTTGAATTTACTGCTTTATTTTCAACATTTTCTCACTCTTGACTACTAATTCCCATTAACTGAATTTCTTAGATGCAACAAGTTCCACTTTTTTCACTTTTTACCATTATAAAACATGACCTCTACATTATTTAATTACCTCCAGAATGGTATCATGCGGGAGGGACAACATCCGTATATGGAGAGTAAAGGAGGGCTCACTGCGCTCTGCCCCAGTGAACCTACAGGAGTACCACTCTATGGAGTTCACAGATTGTTGCTTTGAGGCAGGATACCAACCATCAAGGGAACCCAATGATAGACTTATGTATGTACACAAGGGTTTCTTGAGGCCTTGGAAATCATTTTGTATCTCTGTCTCACATTGATTTTGGAATGTTTTTACATATTGTTCATACTCCCAACATAACACATTCATATTTACTGCATAAATGCATTCTCAAATTCCCTTTGTCTCATATTTTAACTTATTTTATCACATGGTTAGGAGTTTTTTGATTTGTCAAGTGTGATGATGCATATTCAGTTTCACAATTGTCATGTGACTCATTTTCGTGTGATACGGTGGACTGTATCACTACAAAGTCAATGGTAATCATGTGACATCACTGGTAATATCACTTTGTGGCTGAAGACAACACTATGAAGTTGTATCATTTTACAAACAAGTTACAAAGACAACGGTATGAAGTCACATTATTTCACAGCGAAATTTCAAAACATGCAAAATATGATACAGATACTACTAGCGCTAGTATCAACATTTCAGAGTATTACTGAGTATAAACATAACCAAATGCTTATAAACTCCTAGACATGTTATGTGATAAAATCGTCATCACACGTTTCAGCTTATTTGATAGAGGAAATATTCCACTCGGGTAACAATGAATCGCCACTCAAGCTTCGCTTTCATGGATGATACAGTGTTACCTTTCGTGGAATATTTCATGTATCACATGCTGAAATGTGTGATAACTTATAGTATCCTATAGTGAACGGGTATCACTGTTACATCAAAATTGTATTCCAAAGGAAGCACTATGTGTTGTATTATATTACTGCAAAAAATATATTCAACAGTTGATACTCCCTTTTAGATATGTGTGCAGTAGATCAGGACATATATTTGAGATAAACTACAGAAAGGTTGCCATCCATCATGTGCGGAGACTACTTCCTGTTGATAAACGCCATAGAAACAAACGAGAGAAGCAGACCTTCAACTCATCTAAGGGAATTTCAATCAACTCTATGTGTGTCAATGAAGCCTTCTGTGTAACAGGCTCAGATGATGGCTTCTTACGTTTGTGGCCTCTAGATTTCGCACATGTTTATTTAGAAGCAGGTCTGTGTACTACAGGACTCTAGTTTTTTAAAATCTGTTAAATATTTCATAAGGGTCATGAAAAGAGAAATAAAGAAATGAAGCTAATGGCTGGTTAACTTTCATTGTAAGGTTAAAGATATACATTTGATTTAGTTCATATTCGTTTCTTGCTAGATAATGAAAACAGTAATATTGTGTCCACTGGTCGCATCACTTACTGTGCAGTATAATCAGGTCAATGTAAAGAAAATTGTTAAGTCTAACAGAATTGGACCTGTCAAAGCTGTAATTGTATGTGTTAGTAAAAAGCTTTTGCTTTTGTTATTTGCTCATAAACAGTAAAACCTGTCTAAGTGAAACACTAAGTGGTACCTCTAAAAATGGTTCCACTTGGGAGGTGTTGCACTTATAGATAACAATAAGTCTGTTGGTTTTGTGACTCTGTAGTGTTCCACTTCTGGATATGTTTCACTTTACAGGTTTCAATGTTTATGGAAAAATGCCTTTGTATTTCAGAGCATGAAGGCCCTGTATCTGCCACAGGGATGACACAAGATGGTCTACACATCCTAGCAGGTACAACAACTGGAAACTTGGGAGTTCTTGATGTCACCACCAGGGGGTACACAACTCTGATGAGGTCACACACAGACAAAGTGGTCTCAGTTGCTATAGACTCAATACGTAGGCACATAGCAACCATATCTAAAGATCACACCATTAGAGTGTGGGATCTTGACAATCAGCAGCAGGTAATAAAGATATGTCTTCTTGAGAATCATAAAGGAATAATGGGATTGTTGTTTTTAATGAATTCCTTTGATTCATCAGTTGGTTCAGTGTTCCAATGGTTTAGCTATAAGGGAATATTAAATAATGAACAATGTTGATTTCCAAGACAAAATTCAAAGATTGTCAACTATATACTGTACATGTATTAAGTTATACACAATAATTGATGGAATTTTGAAAACATATAAATATATGTACATTTATTTGTTTTCAGGTGATACGTGATTTTTAAACAATTTACCCTCCAAATATTTCTAAACCACCATATTAATGAGGGTGTTCCTCAGGGATCTCTTGATGTCCCCAATGGTCTTGCAATTATTTATGACACAAAACTTGAACTATTTTGTTATGTCTTCCAGTTGTATGACTTCACAGCCCCGAGGAATGCCCCAGTGGTGTAACTTACCAGCCCCATTAGCTAGTGTTTGCCTGTGGCTTTAATTTAATTTTTTTCCAGTTGTATGACTTCACAGCCCCTGAAGAATGCCCCAGTAATATAACATACCAGCCCCATCAGCAAGTGTTTGCCTGTGGCTTCCAAAGTGGGTGTGTCAGAGTCTTCAATGTCGCATCAACAAGCATGCTGGCAGAGCACAAGTAAATAAATCAATGTTCAACGTATGATTTTTAACATCTTGAATTCCAGGCTCTAAAATCGGTTGAAACCAGAGAATATTTCATTTTTGCAATGTTTTGTTACTACATACCTATACAACTTTGGATGCTCAAATTAGTAAAATGTGACGGATTTTCTCATCACTCTGGTTTTCAAGGTCATTGCTGATGTTAAACACTTTCATGTACATTTCCTATAATACATCATTAATCTTTGTAAATAACAATATGCAGCACCTAATACTCCCTCTAAGGGCTCATAGCCACTTTAACCTGTTTATGAGTTACATTGTTTTAAACAAAAAAAGAAAATTATTTATCACAAATAAGTGATCGTATTTATGAAATCACTGAAATTTTACATACTAGTCAATTTAGAAAATGTGAAAATTGTATTTAGTGACGCACACATATTTTACTATAGGCAACATAGAGGCTGTGTGATAGGGCTAGTGTATTCCCCGAATGGAGACTACCTCTACAGTGCTGGTTCACTGGGCTCCATAGCTTTATATGATGCAACAGAGACTGGTTACCCCCTTCTTAGATTACTAGGTAGATATGTTATATAATTATGTAAAGGTTATTCTGTGCAACTAGAGAATATGCTTTTGTTAATTATAGTAGATCGTCAATGAGTTGCAAAAAGTTAGCCTATTAAGTTGGGCATCTTGGCAAGCCAGATCTGAAGTTAATGCAAAAAGTAAAAATATTATGTTTGAGTTGTGATAAAGACCTGTGTCTGCTTAATATGATTACATATAAAGTTTGATACAGTGTAAGTTTCCATAAACTTTCAAAATGAACAAGTTTTTTTTATTCTTATTATTCACCCACCTGTAGAATCATCATTAGAAATTCTCATACCCAAGAAACATGTACATTCTTCTGTACCTTTGTCTTACAGGAAACACACATGCCAGAGGTGAAATATTTGGACCAGATGCCCTGGCTGTCAGTCCAGATGGTCGACAAGTGGCTTTTGTTGGTCCGTCAGAATTTACAGTATCTGTGGTCAACTCTAAAACATTGGATGAGGTATACACATATTTATGTTTTTATAAAAAAGATTCAAACCATGCATGTGACAAGTAAGGGAGAGGGGTAGGGTTGGCAATTTTGCGTTCAGAATTTCTGCAGTTGGTGTTTGGTGGTCGGTGTTTGGCAGTCTGTATCCATGACAAATGGCAGGTGGTGAAATTTTGCATTTTAATGCCTTGCTTTAAATGGAATGAAAATAGTGATAATAATAATATTTGTATAACATGTTTTTCAATAGTAATTGGTCATTCATATTCTTGACTTCGAGCTAAGGTAGTTTACATTGGCCTCCATTTTTGGCTCCATTTGTGTCTATTATAAATTATTTAATGTTCTCATAGATACCTAGTTTTATTTCTTTTCACATAGTCTAACAGATGTATTACAATATACAATACACTAGAAATAGAGAAACACCAAGACTGGCACTTTGATAAATGGCCCATGTTCTGTAACATACATGTATGTATTGCGATAATCATGACTACACTACACTACACTGCACTGCACTGCACTGCACTGCACTGCACTGCACTGCACTTCACTATACTATACTTTCAGTTATCACACGTTTCAGCATGTGATACAGGAAATATTCCACGAAAGGTAATACTGTATCATCCACAAAAGCGAAATGCTTAGACACTCCTAATCATGTGATCATATACTATACAACACTATAATACATTTTCTAGATGTTGCGGATTGACATCACATCGCTGAATACAACAGATGATACCCAGAATGCAATAGACACAGCAGAGAGGGTGGCCTACACCTCAGCCAATGTGAAACATCTCCTTGTTACAACCTCCAGTAACAAACTCCTCAAATTAGATGCCAGAAGTGGTAGACTCTTAACAGAGGTAAGTCAATCAGTCGATCATACCTGTATAACAACTTGTTCAATTAAGATTGCATAAGCATGTCTTTTTATGACACCATATCAGCATACTGTCATGACCATTTGCTGTGTCCAATGTTTGGAGTACAGCATTCACATTGGATTCTGTGGCCAGTCTCTGTAACAAATTGTCACCATTATGTAACCATTTTACCAGCTTACCAGGTGGCATGTCATCATTTGTTTCCATTAAAGTTGAGAAACATATGGCAATTTGTTGATTATTCATTGATGTAACTTTTGCCATAGCAAAATGAATGTGCATATTCTAATATAGTGTATGATGCATCTTTTATTATACACAACAATATAAATGTATCTCTTTTCTGGTTTAGATTGAGCACATCCATCGAGCAAGTTGTACATCACTCAGTATAACAGAAGATGGTCGTCACCTAGCAACCACAGGGGATAAAGTCATCAAAATATGGGACTATCACATGAGATTGGATCTCAACTTTCAGGTGAATTGACCTCCTTGACCAAGGTCAGAATCCAAGTCTTTTGGGTTAAATGACAGGTTTTGTTTAAATTGACGAGGTGTGAGTTCAACGAATTGGTTGCAGATGAACCTAGCTCCTAAATAGCATTGACTTAGGCCAGATTTAGATTGTATTTGATCTGACTATGGAATAGCCTGTTTTGGGGTTGAGTTGAGTGTGAATTACCTTCTCTGTTATCCTATATGCTACATTATTAAGTGAATATAAAATGTGAGTGCATTTACTCGATTCAGTCTCCCTAATAACACCAGCTATTAGATCAAATGTAGATTTTGTTGATTCAACATTTTTATTCAAATTTTCATAAAAAAAGCTCCTGGAAAAAACTACAAGTCATTGGGAGTGGAAATTGTGTTTTAATACAAGGTGGGCCAATAAAAATTGGAACATTTTTCTGTTTATTCAGATGCCTTTATTATTGCAGTTCAATCCACAAAAGTTTTAATTTGAATTACTTTCATTACTAATCATGAATGAGGCTAAATATGATTCTAGTGTCCAATCATGTATTTATTGAGTATTTTTAAAACAACAAGATATTTTTTTAGGTGTTTATTGGCCATTCAGAGGCGATTCATAAAGTCATTTTCACACCTGATGGCCTTGGACTCATATCTGTTGGCGAGGCTATATTTCTATGGGACTTTTTAGCCAACACACATCAACGTCAACAAGAACAACCTGAGGGTCGGACCCCCCTGAAGAATTACATCCCCAGGGTAGAGGAAAATGAAGAAAGGATGTCATCTCACTCTAGATTGAAAATGTCTCCATCGAAATCAGTCACATTTGATGATAGAACTATAGGGAGAACTCGTAGCCCTGTTAGGAGGTCTCTCAGTACTGAATTGGGAGAAATGCCTCGAAGGAGCCCTCCCAGACCAACAAGCTATCAACCACCTGGGAAAATAGCTGATATAAGCTCCATACACCTAGATGCAGAGGAATCAGGTGAGATACAGGCGTGATGTAGGCGTAGGACCAAGTAGAATTTAACTTGGAGTTTAAATGCCATGTACAACATGAATACTGACTTTGATGTAAGAAGTTAGGTATGAAATAATACCTTCAATTAAAAATGATAGATACATGTACAGTACTTAACAACAAAAATGAACCTTTCTCTTGACTTTCTCAGACACTGTTACTGGAGTCTGACCACTCAATAACAACCACTTCAGGACTACAGAAAATTAGCATGACTAACTAAATGAATATTGAGGCTCTCTCAACTTTCTCAATACAACATATATCTTGAAGCAGCCTCTGTTTCTTGAGTTGAAGGCATTTACTTCCTAGGTTCCAATTACTCTAGGACTAGAGACCAATAGCAGACCTAGATAAATAAATATACCAATATACTCTTACCATTGTTTTCTACAGAGAGTGAAGAGGAGGTATTATTGGGACCTACCTTACAGGAGGACAATTCTCAAGAAGACAGTGATAGTGATATGAATAAGGTAGGCTTTACTAGAGGATCATCTCAATGTATGGTTGCCATATTGACTTGTTAGTTCAGATTACAAATGATTTTCAACATCATCTATTTTGATTTGCTAGTCTTATGTCTAAAATTCAATATTTGTGAATTTAGCATTTTGCAAATTTGTCTTTCTGCCTCACCAAACGTCACAATGTGTTGTCGTGCTGACATTTTGTTGTAGTTTCCAACTTTTTGTTGACAGTATTTGGCAGTTGGTGTTTGATGGTAAGTGTTCAGCAGTTGGCATTTAGTGTCCGTAACAAATGGCAGGGAGTGACATTTTTTTCAAGGTAAAGGGAGTGACATTTTGCATGTTACGGCCCGGTTATAGTTGCTCTACTGGAATAAATTAGATAACTAAAATTCCAAAGTTTAACACATGTTCCAGATTGAAATAACCGGGAAGGATAGTTTAGGGCATAGTCCAAGTAGACAACAGCACCAAAGATACCAAACACCAACTAAACAACTTGCACCAGCCTTTGGCTCAAGTAGAAAGAATAAACCAGACATAGAACAACTTATGAGACCATGCGTTAGGAAACATTTCATCAAAAGACCAAAAGCGGCAGCTATAGCACAAGTAAGCAATGTTTTCTAATCAAGTTTCTCAATGTATCCCCTGACATTGAAAAACAATTCAATTAAATGTATAATCAATGTATAGTCTTGTATATTAAATCAAGGCGATTTTTTAGAAATAATGGTATCATTAGAAAAATGTTTATTTAATCAAGTTGAACAGATTTTTAAAAATATTTAAATCAGACAAACACTAAAACAAGAAACATCTGAATGAATATTCCATTGCCATCATCAGGGGTTTCACTAGAATTTCTCACAACAGGCTAAATAAATGAAAACAACCAGCATGCAAAATTAATGGAAATCATAAATTTAACATGGAAAAGTAGAAAAGTCCCTAAAAACAACAATCGGTTTTGTGAAAACAACTGGTGAAAATCGCCTGTTGCTTGCTGCTAATGAAACCCCTGCATCATTGTATTACAGAGAAGGTACACTGCTCCACCCAACCAGACTGCATTGAGGCTTAACTCAATTGTAGGCTACAATGGCAATGGTAGAAACAACATGGTCTGGAATGCTGAGACAGGTAAACTACATGTCCTGTAAAACCTGTGTTTTTAAACACTTCTGAACTTTAATTTCTCAGTTGAACTGTGAACTCTTTTTTCATGTTTAGTGTCCATTGATTCCTATGTTAAAAAATCTCATATGTAAATACTAGTGAATAATATTAGGTTAAAGGAACAATTGAATTCGACAGGTTTCACTGTACCTTTATTGTCATCATATGACCAATAAGGCCAAGTTTTTCAGAGTTTATTGGAATTCAAATGTTACGGTTTCACAGAACTTTAATTGTTAAGGTTTCGCAGAACTTTTACCATCGAGTCTGCATGTTTTGATGTCTGTATGAAATGTTTGGCATCTCAATAATTTGTCTCCAAGATACAAATAGTGAAAGACCTAATGTCTTTATTGGTGCATCTCCCCACCTAGCATAGAAAATGGCACCCATTCGATCTATATAATCTATATAACTAGCATATGCATCAGTTCTCCATATGCTTGTACTGGAAACCTCAAAATTGTTATAAAAAATTTTGTATTTTGGCCATGTAGGATAAAATTGTGGCGTAATATTTTTTTTCTGAATAAATCTTTGCGTACCTTCCCAGAGTCCTCCTGCACAAATGGGGCTTTCCATTGTCGTCAGTAAGTACCCATATGTGTATTTATTGTCTCTCAAATGGCGAAATATGTCATAACTTATCGGCTTCAAAATTAAAGAATCATCGTCAAGGCGTAAATAGTAATCAAAGTTTTGCATCAATTGATGCTCGGCTAGAAGTTTTGCATGGAATCTGCACATGTGTCTGTATCCAATTCCTGCCCCACAAACTTTTGCCTCTAACTTAGAACGGATTATAAAATTTGGTATCACAAATTCAATTTGTTGAAAAATAATCGGTGAATTTGTTTTTGATTGAATTTTGCTTTTGATTGTCTCTCGAAAATTCCTTTCATGGAAAATTATTATTGGATAGTTGTATTTCAAGTTAAAGAATTTATCAAATGAGCTTAAAGCTCTCCAGAACTTAACCATTCTAGATTCTTCATCTTGTAGTAAGAAATATATGAAGGCCTTTGGTTTGTCTCTTGGCCAGTTTTGTAGTAATCTGCTTATCAATTCCATTCCTTTTCTATTATCCATAGGGTTTCTTTTCATATTGTGCAGTATATTATGGACATCATTCTTTTTAACACTATATGATGTGTTATTTGCATTGCCCTTTTTTAAACTGTCATTTGTTACATTCTTGTTCAACTTTAGATTTGATTCTCTTATGTTTATTTTATCTGATATAAAAATGTAAAATTGTAAACATCCTACAAATATGACACATGTTAGTACACCTTTTGAAGTCACTTTCATTTCCGAAATACATGTGTCTAATTTGGTTTGAAGTTAAGTCTGTATCTTCAAAATGTAATTCTACTATTACTTCATGTAAATTAAAGTATTAATTTTCTCCACCGATGTAAAACTTTAGTTTTGAGCTCAAGTTTAGGCCACCCCGGCAAAACAATAAGTAAAGAGTTCATATGACTAATGTGCGCTATATTTTAGCACAAACTGAAATCTTACACAGCATTCACTTTGCCATAATAGCAATAATGTAATGCCACAGGGTATCTATAAATATTCAGTTAAACCTGTTTCAAGTGTAGTCTATACTGTAGTATACATTCAAAAGGGATGCTTCAAAACACATGTATTACTGTAGATACCTTTTGAGTCAAGTTTTTGAACTTAATCTCCGGAAAAAGAGAAAATACTTTTTTTTTCTATATCTCAGGTTCCAGCAGTAAATGAAGAGACATGGCATTGAAAGAGGACAAATTAAATGTGGGATTGAATGAAAAGAAATTAACATGGAACAAATGAGGAATTAACATTGGAATGAATGAGGGTGATTTACTTAGCTTTTTTTCTTGTTCCTAGGATTCTTTGCCTACACCAGTGGTAGTGTAGTAATTGTAGAAGACTTAAACACAAGTTCACAGCATCACCTAATAGGCCATGTAGAGGAGATATCTACCATTACTCTGCAGAATGATTGTCAGGTCAGTGTTTAATAATGCATTTCGAAAGAACAAATAAGGGCATATTTTCAGTGGTGGGCTTAGATATGATTACTCTCAACAATATTAGTTTGATTTACATGATCATTTACATGAAGATTTCAAAAATCTGCAACTACAAGAGTGAATTATTTTGAAGTTTTATCTTGATGTTCCGTATTGTGATTTGTAATGTTTAGAGTACAAGAATGACTACATATTCATGGTTTGAGCTAAGGGCCAGTCCACTGATCATATGTAAGGTCACTTTTGATATGGACCAGTTGAATTTTTCGTAGGTATAGAAAATAACATGGCAATTGGTTCATATTGCCATTTTGACCAGCTGTTTTCAGAACCTTAGCTCAACCCCTCTTTGTATTGCAAATGAATTTGAAAACACCACTAGAGTGCCATTATTCATCAAAAGAGGGTTTAGGTTATTGATGAAATGGTTTATTTTAGGTGCTTGCCAGTGCCAGTGGGGCTCAAGGTCTCACTACACCACAGATTTGTCTCTGGGACCTTCACACTTTGACTTGTAGCACAACTCTAACTCACCATGAACATGATGTTATATGTCTGGCATACTCCAGGGATGACAGATTCCTCATATCAATTGGTAAGTAAATATAAGTAAGAGTTATGTACTGCACAATACTGGTTAGAATCTGTAGCTCAACAGTAATAAGGTATTGAGTTACTGATACTAATACAAAATGATCTTGCTGAAATCTATGATGTACTTTGAGATTTTAGCTCCCCTACAACTGACTATACTTTACAGATATATCCCATATCTTTTATGAATCCTCCATACTGTCTACCACAATATACTGTGTATTTCTCTATGTTATCTACCGACCCTCAGTATGTGTGGAATATAGTATTATCTCCCTGCTAAATGTTATTCACTTAACTTGTAGCTTTACTTGTAGCTTTACTTGTCAGCTCAGATATTGGTTCATTATTGTTTATTATATCCATAAGGGGAACAAGGAAGTCTAATCAAATGCTAAATTGCTTTAGTTAGAAAATCAGTTTTTACCAAAATATTTTACAGGGGACTATAGGGAATGCTCAGTTGTAGTATGGAGCACACAAAACCATCAGGTTCTCATTACATCTAAGACTGCACTACCTGTGCACCATGTAGCTTGGGACCCCCACACATGTAACGAGTTTGTGACTGTTGGCACCAATGGTACTGTTCTGTTCTGGTTAGTGGATGAGACTGGTGACGCCCCCTGTCTTAATCTACATGAGGCTGAAGTTCCCGAGGAAATTTTGCAAACCAATCACATGGTAATATATAACACCAATCACTTGGGAATGTAAAAAAAATCACTTGAAAATCTACAACTATCACTTGGAAATGTACAACTATCACTTAAGAATGTAATAAAATCACTTGGAATGTACAGCAATCACTTGGAAATGTACAACAATCACTTGGAAATGTACAACTATCACTTGAGAATGGAAAGAATCACTTGGAAATGTACAACCATCACTTAAGTATGTAAGAAAATCACTTGGGAATGTACAACAATCACTTGGAAATGTACAATTATCACTTAAGAATGTAAAAAATCACTTGGAAATGTACAACAATCACTTGGAAATGTACAACAATTACTTGACAATGTACAACAATCACTTTAGAATTTCAATTAATCATTTGATAATGTACAAAGCTTTATATTACAAGCACTTTATTTTTTGATATTGTTACAGGTGACAGGTCAGGTTGACTTCACTAGTGCAGAGTTTGCAGGAGACAGTACATTATATATAGGAGCAAACAATGGTATCATCTCAGCATGGGACACAAGGCAGAATAAATGCTTCATGCACTGGGAGGCTGGTTCAACAGAAATTGGTGAGGATTTCTCACTGGTGATCAAATCCATGCTGTTTTCTTTAGTTTTGAATAAACCACTTCACTAATGTTCATAGCTATAGATATAAAGTCAATACAACCTTGATATTTTTATACCCCTTTCAACTCTATTTTCCCTTTTAAAATATGTCTGCATTGACATTTGTCATATACATGGTGTAGATGTCCTCGACATGAAGGAATCCATTAACATATTTCAATTTAAGTGAGTCATGTTGGTTTTATATTGATTTTGTTGAATTTTGGATATAAAATGATTCCAATTTTGTGACCTTTAATGTAAATTTTCCTAGAAATATTGCAGATTATGATTTGAATAAAATTGTGTTTTATGGAGTTAAACTGCTGTCTATATATTGTGAAACATGATTAGAATTCAGTGATCATGATATTATACAGGCCTCTTTGTCTTTGAGTAAAATTAGTAACCTTTACTTCAATATCTATAAATTGTAGATATAGTGATCTCTAGACATGGAAGACTTGTAACAGGCAGTGTAGGGGGTCATCTCAAACTATGGTCAGTGGTGGGGATAGGCGAGATGAGGCTCCCTGGAGGCGGGAATGATGCTATACGCCAAGGGGGTCTTACAATGGAAGATGAGATGATGTTAGATGGTGATGTCACAACAGCCATGTTTGATGAAACAATGGATATGGTAACATTGACAATGCAGTTATACAATTGTTGCTCTCTTACAAAGTTGTAAATTGATAATGATATATTTCAACACTAAACTAACACCACTGGGCATTTTAGTCAAAACTGCATGTAGTACTATTACCTGCTCTATGACCCATCAGAATTTTGGTACTTAGGTGGGTCAAAAAGTTTTGCAGTTGATGCCATAACTTCAAGGAAAATAAGACTTTTACAATGAAACTTGGTACACATATGTGTTATACATTTATACATTATATGTTAAAATTTGGGACCTCAATTTTGATTGGTTCTTGAGATATGGTTGCTATGGTAAACAGAGTGGTGGGTACCATGTTCAACCCGAAATTATGTTTTTCCAAATAGTTTTCTTGCTTGAATAAACTCTTTGTAAAGTGGCAATTAGCAGGTGTAAGTGTCTTTGGTTGGCTATTTTTTTAAATTCAAAGGACAGACATATTTCATTAGAGGAAATAAGTGATTTTTTGGATATATCTAGGGTCGTGCCATACAATTGTCACAAAGATCTTGAAAAAGCGGTATGTTGCAGCAAAGTGGGTTCCAAAGTTCCTCACAGTGGAGCAAAAGGAAGCGCGTCTTGCAGCATCTGGGCAATTTCTGGATATGTTTTGGTATCATTTCCAAATGCTCCCTGAACCAGTTCATAAGTCTCTTGCAAAGTCTTGCCATTTTGAACCATGCACTGTATCAGATTTCTATGCTTCCATTTCATCAATTTGGTTGGTGTGGAAACATCTGCCATTTTGAAAATTTTGGAAAAAAATTCAAAATTTCCTCACTTTTCCATCTCAATTTTTCAACTGGGTTTTGGACAGTATACATCACAAAGGAACTTATCTTGTCACTTGTCTATTGTGATGTCATAGACACAATTAGAAAAATTGAAGAATTTGAAGAAAAATAGCCACCCAAAGACACTTACACCTGCTAATTGCCACTTTACAAAGAGTTTATTCAAGCAAGAAAACTATTTGGAAAAACATAATTTCGTGTTGAACAAGGTACCCACCACTCTGGTTACCATAGCAACCATATCTCAAGAACCAATCAAAATTGAGGTCCCAAATTTTAACATATAATGTATAAATATATAACACATATGTGTACCAAGATTCATTGTAATAGTCTTATTTTCCTTGAAGTTATGGCATCAACTGCAAAACTTTTTGACACACCTAAGTACTTACAATTGTAACATTAGGTAAAATATTAAAATATTTTTCCTCCAGTTTCAACTTAATTTTTGTGATTGACCACTATTTACTTAAAATGTTGCGGTTGCAGGGCATTGTGGGTACAAGTAGCGGTACTCTCTGGTATATTAACTGGACAGAACGGACAAGTATCCGCCTCGTCTCTGGCCACTCACAGAAGGTAAATCATCAATGTAATGAAATCAAAATAGTACCTCTCAGATTATTTTTGTAAATCTTTTGGTGACACACTCTCTTGCGTTGCACTTTTCTAATCATTAATATGTGTGCTTACTGTTGAGAAAAAATCTAAACTAATGTTTGAGATTCTTCAATTCATGATTCAATACTTCAATATTGTACTAATGTGGTATATAAACACAATTGTATGCTGTTCAAATATAATTATTGCTTTTTTCAGTTATTGCTTTTTATCATGTCACACCTCCCAAAGAGCTTTCCTTTGATATGTTTTAACACAGAGATCTTAATGTTATAATATAAAAAAAGCAGAAAGGATTTAGAGAGTGTTGTGAAATATTGTTGTAAAATGTTGGTAATCATCTTCTTAAAAAGTATATATATGCTCCCCATCATGCAAACCCTTTTTGTATTGCTTCCCAATCCCAACACAACATAAACATGTTAAAAGTGAAGTACAGGTGAGTACAGTCATGAAGCAAGACTATTATAAAGCATGGGTAATGCAGACAATTACTGAAAATTAGGCATTGTTGGACGTTTTAGAAAATAGGCATGACTATAATGACCATATATTGGCTCATGTATGTAGCTTCATGCATCCTTTGGATTATTCACATTCTCAGCCTCCGACATACAGATTGTCAACTTTTTGATAGATAGTTTTATCTTCAGGAAGATTGAAGTTACGATTTCAATTAACTGGACTTTACCAAACTCCCCAATTTATTAATAATAGACTTATCTAGTAGATTCATCTGGAGCCGCCATGATGTATTTAAACGGAAGGTATACATAACCCTTTAAAGAGAACCATCAGTTTGTTTGTTTTGTTTCTAGGTGAATGGGGTTGCCATGTGTACAGCTCCTTATATGGCAACATGTTGTGATGATGGAAGTTTGAGGGTGTGGGGCTTGAAAGAACGTGAACAAACTCTACAGTTTCAAGTTATTGACCAGGTAAACACTTCACTTTTCTTTTGCCTACTAGTATTCGGGGTATTAGAGGCCTCTTTATTCAATGATAGAAATTTGGTAGGGATACTATGAAACCTTGTGTCAGTCTGTCTCTCAGTCCATCCATCCAAACCCTCAATTTAGTCAATAACTCGTACCTGTTGATTGTTGGATTTGTCAAGGTTTTTTCACTTGTGTCGCAAAAATCCTTTTCTCTCCCATGATATTGAATAAAATCTTTGAAACATTGATTAAAATTGTAGAGTTAATTGTACACTTATTATTATGGTTTGAAATGATCAATGATTTCATTATGTATTTAACGTCATCAATTTTTGAAATAATATTATCAAAACTTAGGAATAACAGTCTTTCAAAATAAACGTATCAGTTTTTCTCAGATGACTAACTCAGAATCAGCCATTTTTTCCCAATAAAGATTCAGCCATCTTTTATCCTAAAAAGTTGTATGTGCAATTACTTTTTGGTCTCATAATGAAGGTTTTTGCAACAAAACATAATTTGAAATGTAATGCTTTTCACGTTAACATTAGAAAATATCACATTATAATCCAATGCAGATTATATTTTAGAAATGGACACTTCAAATTTGTTTTGGATAAGAAAACATCTGCTTCGAAAAAAATATAGCAATTTTTCCATAAACTTTCTCTCTTATGCGCATTATACTTATTTTTGGATTAAAAATTAGTGTGATCCATTAATAAATTATTTATGATGATATAAACCTGTACATTATATGTAAACCTGTATTATATGTAATTATAATTTGTGGCAGTGTAAACATCTGTATAATACACCTGTTGTTTGACAACCAGGAAATTGCATCTTAGCATTATGCTGGTTAAGCATGGCATCCTCATCTTAATTAAGAACTTACAAATTGTTGCCAATTAAATGAATCAATAATTAAATACAGGCATGTAGTGTATGTTATCTCAATTATAAGTTAATACTATTGAAAAGCACAAATGGCAACTTTAGAAACCCAATAGAAAAACACAAAGGGCAACATTAGAAACACAATAGAAAAGCACAAAGGGCAACAGAAATCCAATAGAACAGCATATAGGGCAACATTAGAAACCCAATAAAACAGCACAAAGGGCAACATTAGAAACCCAATAGAACAGCACTAAGGGCAAAATTAGAAACCCAATAGAACAGCACAAAGGGCAACATTAGAAATCAAAACCACAGAAAACTCTATATATCACATTACAAATTACATAGTAGATGATTATTATGGCATATGCCTTATTCACTATACATAGAGTATGCACAAAGTGTCATTCATCAGACATATCCACCAAATATAACTCATGTACTCATACACATAGAAAAATTGTAAAATTGGCTAAATTGAGTACCACTAGAGGGCTTGTTATATAGATGAATAAATAGATGGCAGCAATAGCTTTGGTCAGGCTAGAATACTATTCCTAATATGGAGAAACTGAAAAAGTTCTTTATTTCTCATTTAAAAGTGTGATCCTTGAAAGAATAGATTAATATATGTTAACTAATTAATATTATATACAAGGTATATTAGATCTAAAACAAATAAACAATGGTCACTCTTGCAATGTTGAATAATCCATATTCACAAGAAGACTCATGAAGATTCTGTCATATTAGACAGAATAAGAAAGATATTCCAAAATAAGAGGGTTGAATTTCTTTTTATAATCCTGCTGTAAAAGATTCAAAGTTTGTTACAATAATGGTCTTGTATGCACAGTATATGTACATGAAATTATTTTTTAAATAGTTCTCAGTTTGATTTCTTTATGTATATTGGACTAATAAGATCAGGGGTCCGTCTCCAACAACAGATCTTCTTACAGCACAACAACACAGTCAGAACTATAATGCTCTCTACCAGTATTAGACAACCGATCCCCAGTTTACCTATAGTTGTATCCAGTAGTCGGATCTGTTGATGAACCATTCCAACCATTTTAGCTGGTTCTTTAATCCAGCATTTAGTGATTATTGAAATAGAGTCGAGACTTTTCAACGAAGTAGCGTTAATTATTGGAAGCACTGTATCCAAGATTACATCAACATTTCCAGGTGATAGGTTACATACGCTGGATTTTCCCTTGCGTTCAGGCTCCACTATGCATTTAACGTGATGGCTCTCCCCATTATTTTTAATAGCATCACAGTCAGTTTCTCCAGATTTAATCTTTTTTGACATCTCAGTTTGTAAACAAATCCTAGTTTTATCGAACCAAAGTTTAAGTTCTTTGTACTCCCTGGTAGGTTGGACCTTCATGACCTTTTTATGCATATCATCACAGATTTTTTTCCCAATGGCATTAACGTATCCTTCCTCTCCACATGGAAATCTTGCCTCAACTTCCTCATAAAAGTCACAGCCTCCTGGTAAAATGTGTACATTTTTTGTTGTAGCTGTTCCCAGGCTACAAACAGTTGCCATGGTGATTATAAAAAATCTTGCCATTTCTGAATCCAAGTTCTGCAACATTGTAAATTTTTTTCCAACTATTGTTCGTTTACAAAAAAATATCTTTTGAAGTGTTAGGTCCAATCTGTATTACTCTTAATTTTTTGTCCATACAGTGATAAGAATTAAGTGTGTTATGAAATGAACTGTCTGTTTGATAGTACCATCGTCCAAAGTTTTTAAACTGTCTGCTGCCACGTTATAATCATTCCTTGCACATATAAACTGTGTACTCAGTCTTTTTATATCCCAAACTCTCCAACTGGGATGATAGACTAATGATGATGATTGACCTATACCTGTAAATGCAATCTTTCAGCAAATGTCTAATTACTAAGCTTTTTGATAAAAGCACCTGCTTTTGTGATATTTCACGAAAGGGTCTGCACTTAATCAATATCTCTTGTTTTAATCTGTAACATATTGTAGAGTAGTACATTTCACATTAGAACTCACAAACTTGTATAATATGTAGAGCGATCTTAAGACTAAATTGGTAATTGTCATGCTGTCTTTGATTCACAATAAATAAAGGAAGTAAATTAAATAGGTTTGACATTGGTGATATATTATGCAATATACGAGTCAATAGCTGTCGTCTTCATCCTTATAACTATTGCTATATATAGAGAACCTATGGCAATATGGTTTTGCTTTTTTATCATCAAAGCAGCAAAGTGTAAATTCTTAATCAATAACTAAGAAAACACACTATAACTTCTAACGGAGCGTTTTGTTGAAATGTTCTGTTTTGAATAGAAGTAAAGGACATATTGAAATATAAGATATTGTTTACAATTTCTTATTTTTCTCTATTTCTCTGATTCGGAGGCAAACATTGAAAATACCCCTCCCACCTAAGGATAACTCACATTTATTGATTTGAAATAATTAAATTAATTTCCTAGTGTTGATAGGTACACCTGCAGACAAATGTATTAGTTCATTCAATTTCTTCATTTGATCAGCTCAGTAATCAAAATGAAAAAATTGTATATATATTTCTACATACAAACACAATTATAACAGAGTTTGCTAAAAATTGATAGAAATTTCCTTTATAACCCGCACGCTTGACATACACATACAGCTTTATTAATTTGCATAAGAATTATTAAATGTGTTTCAAGTTAATTATTTTAATTAGATCAATGTTGGTCATTGTTTCAATATTATGCCACACAAATGAAGACCACGGGGGAATATATATAGTGAAAAGTCCAATTATTTGAAACAATGTCTAAAAGGAATTCCATGTCTGTTTTTATTCTTCTGGTGGTGAAAAATTGTGATAGTCTCCAACTGGATAGTGCTCAGTGGTTGGCGGTTGGTGGTTGGCTTTTGACAATCACCGTCTTGTCTTGTTTGTTAATGCCTTGTTTCAGTATAGTTTTTGGCCTACGGAGGAAAAATGGTACAATCTTTTACTGCATCATATAAAAGATGTCACCTTAATTAAAAGGAATTTCTATTTTATACAGAATAGATGGCGTGTGGCATTCCCACTAGTGTTGTAAATAAATACACACTAAAGTGATATACAACGAAATAGATATGAGGCTTCAAAAATGAAAATACTGCCATGAGATATTATTTTAGAAACCACTTCTGATTCATTGCTAAGGAGAAAAATATACTGATACAAAACAGCATTATAATATAGTCTATCCTCCAACATTTTCTAAAATATATAAAACTTATTTAATTGTTGCTCACAGAACAAATTCAATAAAAAGTTTGCACAAAGTAACATTACATGTTTTAAATATACCGTTCCCACTAGTGTTGTTTAATGTTAATGAGGGGCATTTTACAATAGTTTATTCAATACAAATATTGTATCATTAGATCTACTCAAAAATGTGAGTCCACATTAGAACAATATACCACTTATCACGCCTTGGTCATTTATATTTAGAGCCAAGTTTGATAAATGATTAACCAATCACTTGGTTATCTTGAATCATTAATAAAACATTTGTTCAAATGTAACTGGTGACACCATGATCAGAGTCCTAATATATCAGCCTACGGTTATTTACCTCATTAAGGTTCATGTCTTTTTTTGTATGTTTGAAAAATTGCCATTCCCCCATGACATTTTCTTGTTCTTATTAAAGTAAGAAGACACGATTGTGATTCCGTATTTTTTCTGAAGAGCATCCCCTTTGCATCGAGTGTAGCATAAATTTAGAATACAATATACAATGTTACAATACTTTAGCCTATCAGTGTGGGTATTTTCCATGCTCAGATATAATACCACGATCTGATTGTGCTTTATAACACTATATACAACAAGCAAAATCTTTTTCAGATCTGAAAATCAAAATTGTAAACTCTTTCTAACTCACTACTCTTAAAAGAATTTATTAAAAGATCATGGCCTATTTTATTGTGTGGTCTGCACTATTAACTCCATGCCTCAACCTTTATACTAAAACAACTGCAGTTTGAAGCACATATAGACAATGAATGTCAGTTTATCTTCGATTAGGGATACATAAATCATATTTTGAAAATACAAGTTAGAGTATATTACCTTTCACAATGTATGAAGAAAATTTGATAAATATTTGTTGGAAAAAAACTCCATCATCTATGAGTACAAAATGTGCAAGAGCAGTATCATAACAAGAAGGTTGAACAAAATATAGTTATTGGTCAAGTTATGTTAAGTGTCTAGATTGGATGGTTGTGACTGACTTTTTTGCCCCCCACTGTTGCATACATAGTAAACACATTACTTGTGGTATCTTCAATTGCTTACGGTATCTTTTCAAATTGCACTTTAGATAGCTGTTGCTTGTTTTTTGAGTTGTGGTCAATTGAGAATTTTTCGAGGTTTTGAATATCATTTATGCCAATAATGATAGTGGAATATGGCAATAATGATAGTGACATATACCAAAAATGATACTGAAATATGCCAATCATAATACTGACATATGCCAAGAATATAATAGATGATCTATTTCTTTATGTCGCTAACAACATCTTGGTTTCTTTGAACTGAGGTATGACCACACCTTTCCATATTTCCACACCTTTCCATATATTATGTAAATGACTAGGTGACCACAACTCCAAATGATACAAGTGATCTCTTATTCAAATAATGTCATACAAAACTCACAGTCTGTTCACTGAAGATTGGAACTCAGATACAAATCATTCTCCTCAAGTAAATATATGTAATCATTCCCAAACTTTCTATGAACAAAATATCCTCCAAACACAGGCCTCCAGAACTTGTATTTCCCTCTTCCAAGAAGGGAAGAACATATGGGGGAATGTAGTGGATTATATCTGGAGCCCTGCATCATGATAAACCATGGCATCTCATTTCTTCTCAGTCCTGAGATGTGTTTCAGGTGAAACAGAAAGATGCTAAGAGGATCAGAATGTGAGCCTGCGTTTGGAGTATGTGAACAAAATTGATGGTCACATTTTCTGCATTTTGTTTTATCAAACTAAATACTTAAAAACAGATAAACAATATCACCCGATCATTAAGTTCCAACTCGCATGGATTTTAATGCATTTGACATTTTTATTAATTGATTTAAATTATCAAATCCACTTGTTTTAATACTAAACTAATTATGATTTATACAGAAAGAGTTGGTAGAGCTTGATAAGGATAAAAATGTTGTCACTGTTTTATTAAAATAATGGTGTGTAATCTGTATAAAGCAATGAAACATTATTTTTATCTTTTTTGGAGATATCTCCTTTTTGTATTTCACAATAATATTCTTTTGACAACCATTTTGACGTAGCATCCATATTACATGGTACTTTTTATTTGGTCTTTTGTGAGATATTTTCCAAATTAGACTTGGTAATGTGACATTCAGTAAACGTTCTAGTTATTGAACCCTTTTTTTAATTTGTTTATTTCAATTAGAAAGTAATATCAAGTCAAAGTCAATTGAGTTTTCATCATTATATTTTATGTAATAACAACAAACTATAATTGTACAACAGTAGATGTGATTTAACCATAAATTATTAATGTATATAATTTGATTGTTGCATAAATTATATACAGTATGTTCTTATGTAATGTTTTTCATGCAAAATGCATCCAAGGCAAGATTGGCTTTTTGATAGACAGTGATACATTTGTAGTTATGTAATAAGCTCTGTCACAAAACTCTGAAGAGGTCATGGGGTTTCTACATATATTTAGAAAAATAATTGTACTGCCAGTGGCCATGCCTCATCAATGAGCTCATTGCAGTAACAAGTAGTTTATTGCAATAACAATAGCAATGAAAATATTGCAATAGACAACAAATATACATTTAAGTGTCTGTTGCCTTTTCAGGGACACAGCTGGGATCCAAAAACAGGAATGACATATTTAAAAACTGAAGTTGAACTTTGGTTTCATAATTTTAATTGAAAAAAACAACATCTGATTAAATTTTTTATATTTGGCGAAGCACTTGGCTCACATGCCACATACCTGCCTTAATACTCATACTTTCAAATAGAATATTTGAAAATAAAATGCCTCTTGATCAGAGGGGTAGGTCATTTAGGTTTACATTTCCTTATTTACATTTCTCTTTCTTTGAACATATACAAAATGACTCACTTTTCTTTCTCAAGTCACCTCACCTTTTCTGAGATACTCAGATATATACAATTTATTATGACCGTTTTCAAGGGCATATATTGTTTTTGCTATCACTGCATTGAAAACACTTGATTTTTGCCAATTTATCATTATTCTAATGACATAAAATCCAATGGCGTGATCATGACACAGGTATAATCCTTAAAAAGATGTACAATACATGTAGTTTTTACAATTATTGAACAAGGAATTGAAATTTCCACATTGTACATTTTTGTTAACAACATATGGTGAAGTATAAACAGAGAGGGACTGTTTAGAGTTGGTAATAGATAGATAAGTAGATGTTTCACGGCCTGCATGAAATCTTCTTTAAGGTCATGAATGTTAACTAATCATTAACTAGAATTCACAAAGACGTTCTGTTGTATCACAGTCATAACAATACAGAGAATTAAAAGTGAAACCCCTATAAATCATCAAAACCTTATTAAACCAGTTGAAGCTTACAAATGCCTGTATAACCTCTTCCTAAGGTGGCCAGTAATACATAGAACGAATTTCAAACAACTGCAAATAGACCAGAACATTTAGCTTCATTAGAGGACTTTATCACGCGCTATGTTAAAACTATAAGTGTTCTGATATAGCAACATTAATATTTCGGTATTTGTATCATCATTATCAGGCTATACCAAAGAAAGCTTTTTAGAAAATCAGTTGTGAGATTTCAAACATAAATGCTGGAGAAAATAAGTTGAAAAATATCTCAGCTGTTAGCGACCCTTTTTATACATGACTCATTATATTACAAAAGGATGTTGCCGATGCCAACGTAACAGATAATCTCCAAAAAACATGACATGAACTTTAAATTATTTAACATTAAGTTAAAGTTGAGAGCATGTCATTAATATATTTTAAATTATAATTGATGTGAATATGTACTTTATATTCGACTAAATACTTGTAACAAACAGAGAATATAATTGATGCAAAACATAAGAACTATTCGCTATATGATGTATGTCACAAGTCCTATTGCACCCATAGTTGTTTTACATTCTATCTAGTAACCTATTCTTGCTGTATTTAATTTAGTTCTAATTAGTTGAGATTAATGTACCTGTTTTGATTTTACTGTATATATTTGTGTCACACAAGCGTTTCTGCTGTCTCTCCATGAACCATAGTCATTGGGCCATGCAATCTACGTGTATGTATTGTCCTTCTCAGTCTTTCCACTTTGACGTCATCATGTTCATGCTCAATATGAGCATTATCATTAGTCTTTGTTACGTTACCCTGTTGTTGGTTAGACTGCATAGTGCTTGGTATAATGTTCATTTGATTGTCATTTGGGATATGTGTGATACATATTGCATTGTCATTATTGTCCATAAATGAAGCAGTTCTGTTTCTTTCTTGACCCATGGATTCATTGATTAAATTATCACTAGATCTAGTGGTATTTTGATCAATGGACCAATCAGGTGTAGATACAATAGAGTTTTGAACAAGATATGTATTATCATGAGGACTTCTTGGTTCAAGTGGTATATGACTAATGACCACATCAGGCTCATCAGATAATGAGTTCACTTCTATAGGGTCTGGGACATACCTGTTTGTCCTTCTGTTTCTATTGTGTTGTATTTCCCCACTGTCTGTACTGGAGGGTACATCTATGTCTTGCATTGATTCATTTGTGTCCTGAACTGTTTCGTTAGTTTCATTACTGTTGCCCTCATTTGCCTGAGGATTTGCGGCCAATCGTTTTGCATGTATAAGTCTTGCAGTGAAGAGTACGCCTATGACCAACAGACATGTGGACAGTACTGCCGCCAAAATATACACGATACTCTGTGTGGTGAAGCCTTCTTCTCGTTTAATCTTTATTTCATAGATGGCAACAGCACTGCCACCTGGGTGACTGGCAATACACCCGATTATTCCCTCGTCCGATTTATGTACATCTGTGATTGTTATCAGAAGTCTATTATCGCTTATTAGTGTTCGATCGTCTGGCATTGGATCGCCTTTAAGCTCCACATAGCTAATGTCTGGATATGGTATTCCAAACACGTCACATCTGATTGTTGCATTTCCTCCCAATGTTGTCTGTATTTCATTTACTGGGCCATGATTGTTAAGGATGAGAGGTCCAACACAATACAACATTGATTTAGGGATGCTCCTAAGGGTTCGTTTGAACAACTCTGGAGGCTCAACACATATAATATTAGGAGCACGAGTCCTGTTTTGTACCCAACTTTGGAGCTCCTTTACCCCACAGTTACAAGCCCATGGATTCCCCTCTAGTAAAATCTCAGCCTGATTAACAGGCTGAAATACAAGTTCTGGGTCAAGGCGTGTCATTTCATTATCCCTTAAATCCAGATGTTTCAGTTTACTTAATCCATCAAAGGCAAAATCGTCTATGTATTCAATATTTGCATTGTTCAGTATGAGTGTTACAAGATTAGTCAAGTTCTGAAATGAGTCCTCAAAGATGGTCCACATCCAGTTTCCTTTGAGGCTTAGAGACTGAAGACTGTCTTCTAATGGTGATAATGCATAATCAGGTACCAATGCCAGGTCATTGTAGTCCAAGGTTAAAGTTGTTAAATTGTTTAAATTCTCGAATATGTGTTCGGAAATGTTGTCCTGTTTCCAAAATACACTAACATTGTTCATGAAAAGAAATTGCAAATGTGGGGTATGCCTGAATGGGGGCTCATCTTGAATTCTCTCAATTGGATTTGATGATATATTAATCAGCTGAAGGTTTGGTGTTTCTTTAAATTGTTCAGATGGAATGTCTCTCAGATTATTGTCTTGTATGTAAAGACTCTTAATGTTACCGAGTCCCTTAAAAGCTTTCAAGTCTATTCTTTCAATCGCATTACCATTAAGGTCAAGTTCCGCCAACTGTGTATTGCTTAAGAATGACATTGGAATAATTTTGTGAATGTTATTTCCATGCATTCTAAGTTTTGATATCTGTGGAATGTCCTTGAAAGCCAGCGCTGGAACTGTTGTCAGGAAGTTATCATTTAAATCCAGATTTTTTAGGTTGTGTAGTCCATTAAACGCATGTTCTTCAATTGTTTCAATGTTGTTATGACTCAAATCTAAAGTTGTTAAGTTGATAAGGTTTTGGAATGAATAGTCGCTGAGATTCCTTATATTGTTGTTTGATAAATTAAGGCACTGTGTAGTCTCTGTAAGGTAACTTGGTACACTTTCCAATTCGAGATTATGACACTGTACATTGTGTCCCTCACACTGACAGCCTTTAGGACAGCCTGATAGCACGCCATAAACTAATGTTGCTGTCAAAACCACTAGCTCCAGCCATTTGGTAAAATATGTTTTTCTCATATTGTAGATATCCTTGTCCCTTTGGTATAACTGCTACCATTGCATTGATGTAAGTTGGAATAGATGAAAACAAGTCAGGGGGCATAGTCCTATATCATAAGCTCTTAAAAACTCAATAAGAAAAAATAAATTGCCTGATATCCCATTACCTAGTACTTCTGTTATTATCAGTCGTTGTATGCATTGATACGATTGTATGTTGATTGGTTTAAAACAGTTAAATTGGTCCTCGTCATTGAGATTAAACTTGAGTACTTTGATATTGAGTGTTTTGATTGAATTTGGCTGGGTATAATATTATCAGTGTCCCAATCACTGAACTCGCTACCTTCCTCTACCATACTGTAACTAGCACACGTCACATTAATACAACCTTATCATCTACCTATTCGAGACCCACTTTACCCTTCCTTAAAATGCTCAACATAACAGTTTACTGTTATATTCAAATGTGTGACTATTTTACGTGATGAAACCTCAAATTTTGTGATTTTTAAAGCTCTCACTTTTGTTAGAGGTTATTGCTGTTTTCAAAAGTAATGGTCCCATTTTTCAAACAAATGAATAAATGACCTACCTGTTTTTTCACATTTCTCTTCAATTTATGAAAAAATGCCTGGATAACATTTGAAGTAATTCATTAAATCAATTCAGTAAATTCTGGTTAGACAATGATCAACACTCTTCTGCTTATTGTTTAAAGCATACACACTTTCACATAACTGTGGTATTTTACCCACAGGAAGGTAGGCCATATCTAGCAATATCAAATATCCCTTGCAGGCTAATGAGATTATTACAGAAATCTCAACAATTTTAAGATATGAAAGTCAAATTCCTTGACTTTTGATTGATTTAATTTCTTTTAATTTATTCTTGCAAATACATATTGGGTCAGATTATCTTTTAATTAGTCACTGTTTGTTGTAACACTTGTAGGAACGGTGTAAGCAAGGTTAGTATACTCGATTTAGTATCTCAACAATTACAAATTGCATGCAGCGCCCACTCCATCACCTGTTAGGAACATTAGTTTATTGCCATTTGAAATATAGAATAATTGAGCAATGCATAGCAATGTCACATGTTAATATTGATTCAATTTTGGACATCCCCACCTGGTTAGTGATCTCATGACACCACTCATAGATTCATTTATACAGGGTGGGCCAAAAAACGCCACTTTTTTTCAAGACACTACAACTTTTTTATTTTCCAACCTACATACACCAAAGTTTGCAGTTATATAGTGCCAAGGGTTCTTAGTAATAATATAATGTAACAAGTCCTTCAACTTGGATTATATTTGATCTAAAAGGGAAGTTCAATTGGTCCGACACCCTTATTGATGATATATTTTAGTTTTAGTCGCCTTGCTGATATTGCAGTATCAATGAAATGTTAGCTAAGTTTTTTTCAACCTGTCTTAATTGCCAGCTTTAGTTGAGCAATTTTCTAGATTTGGTGCCTTCATACTCTCCTGGAGACCTTCTCATACCCTATACTTACTTGGGTTTGCATCAGGGCTTTTAGCTTGGCGATCATCAGGCCGTATCAGTTCAGAAACGTTTTGCAAATTATGCTTATTGCTCATGGCACTTTACATGTTTTAGTGAGACACTGGTGACATATTTTATTCAAGTGAGAGTGTATAATTGATGATCCATGGCTAGATAACAACCTCAAGTTTCATTTGGTATGCAAATTATGATTTAATATCAAAAATTAATAAAGTTATTGCATTTTGAAAAAAAGTGGCGTTTTTTGGCCCACCCTGTATAACACCATTTAAAGATCCATTTACAGTAAATGACATTATTCAAAACTAGATAATTATAACATTCTTTATAAGTCTCCAGTTATAGATGGGTTCATGATTTGAATGTGTTGTACATGGCTCATACAAGTGATGTATAGCAAAAGACTCCTGTGACCTTGACCTATAATATTTATCCCATCAAAAAAGTTCAGAGGGATATAGGGAACGCCTCTGTCCATATGTCCGTCCGAATACCAAAAATAGAAGAAAAAAGAGTAAAGAGATATTCTCAAGCTAACAATACAATGGTATCAACCTGAAGATGTCTGTATGGATTGATTTTCAGGGAAGTTTCATGGCATAAAAATGATTAATGTTTGGGAATGTTATGTAAAATTTAAGGTGACCATTTTTGATTTCTCATTAATCATTTCTGTCTTGTCTTATCTACATGTTTTAAGTAAACCAGTTGATAAATTGATTTGAAATTTTCAGAGATGCTTCCTGGTAGTCAATATAAAAATCTGATTAGTTTTTGGGCATGCTGGGTTCATTTAACCAATTTTGGATTTCCCCCTGGAGATTTTGTTTTCAAAGTATTTAGAACATATGTTGCTTTGATTTACTTTTAGCCTTCCACATGCTGCTATAATGTTCCTTGTACAGTATTCTCTCAGGCCTGTAAATGTGTTAGTTCTGACCATGCTTTTAATTACGGTAATGCACTTTTGGGCTTACACCTTATACAGTTTCAGACCTACCTGAGTTATGTTTATGGCCTTGCACTTTCAGTCTATTACCTCTCTTGACTTTATATACAAGGTCGTCAAAAAACGGAAACCCTGCCACTATTTTCCTAATATCTTTGTCAGTTTAGAGAGTTACAGTACTTCCTAATATTTAGCATATTTGTACATCATTCAATTTTCTACCAGCCTACTATATTTCATGACCATCAGAATGTCATAGCACTTTTACAAATGTAAAAAAAAGAAATATCAGGAAGAGTAATTTCCTAAAATGACAGAGATATGAGGAAATGCAGGGTTTTCAGTTTTTTCCACCCTGTAGTTACAGTTCTAAAGCTATGTTGTCATAATGTACTTTCAGGCCTTAATATACCTGTGTTACCTCTATGTACTTTTAGGCCTATACATGTACATATCTGTATTGCCTCTATGTGGTTTCAGGCCTTTATCTGTATCGCCTCTATGTGGTTTCAGGCCTGTATCTGTATTGCCTCTATGTTGTTTCAGGCCTGTATCTGTATTGCCTCTATGTGGTTTCAGGCCTGTATATGTATTGCCTCTATGTGGTTTCAGGCCTGTATCTGTATTGCCTTTATGTATTTTCAGGCCTGTATATGTATTGCCTCTATGTGGTTTCAGGCCTGTGTATGTATTGCCTTTATGTATTTTCAGGCCTGTATCTGTATTGCCTCTATGTGGTGTCAGGCCTGTATCTCTATTGCCTCTATGTGGTGTCAGGCCTGTATCTCTATTGCCTCTATGTTGTTTCAGGCCTGTATCTGTATTGCCTCTATGTGGTGTCAGGCCAGTATCTCTATTGCCTCTATGTGGTTTCAGGCCTGTATCTGTATTGCCTTTATGTACTTTCAGGCCTGTACCTGTGTTGTCTTTGCCCCAGAACCAACAAGACAGACCCCATCATCTGCAACTCCAGTAGGTATGACAGCAGCTGTCTCTGAATATGATGACTTCACCAAGCTGCCCAGCGTTGCAGGGGGATACTCTGATGGAACTCTGCGCATGTTTGACTTGAATAAGGTGGAAATGTCCTTGAAGATGCACCCTCATGCTGTTTCTGTCACTACTATACAGTTTTCAGCTGATGGTATGTAATTGAGGGATATGTATAATTGGAGGTTTCAGATATAAGTTTATTCAGAATGAGATATGTTTATGTCTGAGAGAATATTAGAACTTATCATTGGCAAAATATGGCAAGATATTATACTATAATTGTTCTTATCCTATGCCAAGTTGAGTTTTACAGAGATAAGTTGGTAAGATATATCCCGTATCCTGATTTTGAGGTTTCCATATCCAGAACCTCCATATCTCCAGCCATATCTCCCGCTTCAGTGCATATCTTCCCGATTCTGGTAATTTCACTGAAAACTCTACTTGGTATAGGATAAAGCAGTTATGTACGGTCGGTTTGGATATTGGGTTCATCCCTCGTGAGATATGCACATCTACCTTCGGTCCCTACGGTCCCTCAGGTAGATATGCATATGTCCCTCTGGATAAACCCCATATCCAAAACCTCCCAGTACATAACCCTTATTTATTATGGCTTATTTGCCTTGTAATTGTACTATAAGTATATTTTATAACATCAAACAATGAATGTAAACTATTAAACATTCATTGTGCTACTCCTGTTGCTGTTGTTCTATCATTATGAATTTTCACTTTTCTGTAAAAGTATAGAACTTTTCAAAACCAGTTTACAGGGAAATAATTTGCTAAATTGCTCATTTGTCATGTTTATGTAATTTGTAAGTTTTGTCAACATCAATGCTAATATTATTACAGGTCGTATGCTGCTCTCTGGAGACTGTGATGGCTTGATATGTATAAGTAGTCCAACCACAGGGATGACTGTACGCATCATCAATGATCACAAAGGTGCTCCCATAACTAATATAGATGTCACCTTTACACAGGTAAGCTGGATGTATTGAAAAGCAGATCAAAAAACAAACATGTGTTTTATCAAAACTGGAAAAAGTTTTGATAATCATCATTAACAACAATTCTCTGATAAATATAAAGGGTCGTACTAGTGTGTTACCCATGTGATCCATAGATAATGAATTAATACAGATATACTGTTTGTTTAACATATTAACCTTGGAATTTAGGATCAAGATCTAGAAGTTCATGCTCCATTGCTATGGCTCGCTACAAGTGCAGATAGGCGTGTCAGTGTCTGGTCAGCTGATTGGTCGAAAGACTTCTGTGAGCTTGTTGATTGGTTAACATTTGCAGCACCTGGATTCACTCCAGATGGTTCAGTGATAAAGAAAGGAGATCAGGTAGGCCTTCAGTCAAGCATATCAGCAATATTTATAATATTTTACTTATGAATATCATGTTATGGGTCACATGATATTCATCAATTTGGTACAAGCAAGAATATTTCCCTATGATGCAATTCAAGCATATGACCAAGACCCTATCTAGTAATTCACTAAAACAATACAGATATGTTATTCTCGGTGAGTTGCGATCATAGCCATTGAACAATGTTGAGCAATTGTGCGACCTCTGTGTTCTAATTCTATGTTTTATACAGTCATTACTCCTATAATTATCCCATCGAACGAAGTTTTGAGGGATATAGGGAACGCCTCCGTTCGTCTGGGCAATAACTCAAATACTGTTTGCCCGATTGTATTCATATTTTATACACATGTGCGCTATGAGGTTGGAAGTTCTGCTTGAAAGCCGGCCACTTCAAAATGGCCACTCGTTTCAAAATGGCGGCCATTTTAGTGCTGATTTTACAGTTATTTAGGTACAGTATATAAAACTGTAATAGCAATGTGTTTTAAATGTAAAAAAGTTATATAGGACATTAATAAAGCTAGACATGTAAATATTTAAGAAACACATGGCAGCCATCTTGAAAAATGGCGGCTTTTACACGCTATTTTTGCTATAACTTGAAAAGTAGTGGAGCGATATTGTTCATATTTGATATGTGACTACTTATTAGCATGGTGCACTGGCTAGAAGGCGCCCATTTTGAAAATGGCCGCCATATTAAGTGCGTTATTTTACATTTTTACTAAAATTCAAAAAGTAATAAAGCGATTTTGTTCATGTTTGATGTGTGAATACTCATAAGCATGGTACACTGTTTTATGACACTTTGGCTAGAAGGTAGTCATTTTGAATTTTTGCTATAACTGAGACTGCAGCAGAAGGATTTTGTAAAAATGGCAGCCATGGCTGTTCGAGGGGATTTGCTACGCTTTGGCATTGCTGTTGTCTAGTTACAACAGTAAATGGACTGATATAAGCCTGGGCTTGAAGATTGTGTAGTGAAGAGAAGATGACCATGACTTTCATCATGGGCTTTCAAGAGATCATTATAAATGTATATAATATTTTAAAAAAATTCACCTATTGTTTCAGAGCCAGTATAGATCTTTGCCTCCCAGTATAGCAAGGTTTTCTCCTGAAGAACAAGATGTGATTGTGTATATGGGTTATGGTATGGCCAAACAGGTTCAGTTTTATAGTCTATCTCAGAGGCAAGTGATACGTACCCTACCAGTGACTCACTGGCCTGTCTGTATGGACCTCTCCCCAAAGGCAGCTGTCATTGCTCTTGGTATCAGTGGTATGTATTTGCTACATTTATTTCTAATTTTCCCAGAGAACAATTACAAATTATGAGAGAGGGATTAGAAGCCATCTTTGTCTGGTGTTTGGCATTCAGCATTGGCATCTGTAACACATTGTTACACATTTGTGCATTGCAACCAGGTTGTCACATTTTGTAATGTTAATGCACTTTCTAAATGTGTGAGATCAGTTCTGGCCTCTAGGTGACTGAGGCTCAAAGAGAAAACATACTTTGGAAGTAAATGAGACATCTTTTACATGTAATCTTTCTCAAACTTGCTTCACTGCACAGGTGACATCTATTATTCAAAAAATGTGTAAAAACATATCACCAATGCATAGAATATTACAATTTAAACTAGAGGAGGATGGCATTAAAATTCCACTTGGGTGGGAGTGAGATGTTTCGTGACATTTTCATTTGTTCATTTTGTTAAGGCATTTCCTTTTTGTAAAGCACTGCATAAAAGAGCCTACTATTTATATTGTGATATTTACATGTTATACATTTTTGAAAATAAAATAATTGTTTTATATTTATTCTTCTTCCAGAGCGTTTGCTAAAGCTGCAGGACTACTATGAAGGTAGCTTTCAGGACTATATTGGACATAGCGATAAGGTTGAGAATCTCAAATTCTCTCCAGATGGAAAAACACTTGTGACTATATCACACTCTGAAATTATCATATGGGATGTACATATCTGATGTTCTTAAACAATTTGTGTCGTATGAGTTTGAGATATGCTGGTTTTTCAAGCACAAATATATTATGCAGTTCTCCAAGTGATTTTTGAACCTACCAGTAAATGCATTGGTAAATGAATTATGTTTGACTTATAGGGCCAAAGAAATTCAAAGTTTAATTCTCATGAGTGTAAAGGCAAATTATGCATTCTCCAAATGCAGAGGTCCAGGCATCACCCAATGTCTTGACTCCTGCATTCTTGTTCCAAAGGAGTGGATGGGAAGAGATACAGAACTACGTATACTGCTACTCAAATGTCCACTAAAATATACCCAAAACATGAACTCTCGTAAAATAATTATTGATATTGATAATTTCTGCAAGTAGGATATGCTGTACTTTGTATATTAGTCTGAACTGGACTAAATGTATTAGTGAACAGGGATAAGGGTCTGATCTGATATATACAAATGACAGAGTAATGAATCAAACTGAATGGGAAACACATGTATGTCTCTACCCCATCCAGGTATTATTTTCACCAAACACTAAGACTTCAGAATGAGGTCACACAAAATGCATGCAAGACATCTGAAGTGTATGCAAGATCATCAGACCCGTAGCCAGGATTCCACGGGGGTTCACTTTTCCAAAAGTTCCAGGGGGGTTTACTTTGGAAAATTTGGCCCAAAATCACATAAAAAAGGTCAGAATGGTGAAAAACTGCATGATTTTGAAAGAATTTTTGGCCAGGACCCCACCCCCCCTGGCAATGGGCCTGATCATTTTCTGTAATCATGTTTAGTATAGAACAAACAGGGAAGGGATCCCATTGAAGGGATACAATCATGATGTGCATTGTGCTCAGAAATCATACAATTTATACAGTAATGTGTACATATATTAAATGTTAACTATGTAGCCTATACATACCTCAAAATATGTGGTCTAAGTAGTCTTGCTTCAAGACCCTGAAGTCCTCCCCCCCCTCCCTTCAGTTAAACAACAGTAAAGTAGATAATCATTCCCCCTCCCCTATCCAGGGTCTTCAAGCAAGACTATGATCAAAGATAAATTGTATCTATTGTATTGTTACAAATATTTAAGATTTTGCACCTGTACAGTATTTGAAAGAATAGATAGGCTAGTAGGTATGTGTAAATAGTGAAATTACGAATTTTGTAAATATTATATAAGCCTATGAAGCTTTGTAGATAGTACTTGTTTTACTGTGAATAGACTGATATATTGATCTCTGCAAATATAAAATAACTGTTTTGAATGAATTTAAAATGTTGTGTGTTGTATTTTTACTTGACTTTTGTTTTTCTACTAAGAGAAGGCTAAAGATTGTTTGAGAATCTTTAAATTCTTATCAACATGTAAAACAGCTTATCTTCTTAGCCACTCTTACATGTCTTAAACAACAGTATATCAATTAAAACCTTTTAACAAACTGAACTAACCATCAAAACCCCCTGACCAGCTCACCATTTAAATATGTATACATTTTTACTTCAACCACCAAGTTAAAATCTTTTAACCAGCTAACCATGATCCGACCCATTTACTGTTAATCAATTGATCAAATTATGGGCATTCAATCTATTGAAAGCCCATGATCAAATGTTATTACAAGCTGGCTATCCAAACCATTTAACCAGCTGACCACTGACCATTTTATCCAGTTCGCTAAATCCTAAACACAGCTATCAAAACCCTTTATTATTTATTATATTATTCATTTATTTTACCTGTAATTATTATCCAAAAAGTGTTAACAAGCTAACAATCCAAATGTTTTAACAAACCGTACCTCCAAACCTTTAAACCAGTGGACCATCCAAACCCTTTTTAACTGCAATTTCTAACTTTATTACCAGCTAACTATCCAACTCATTTAAGCAGCTGATCATTGAAACCTCTGACCATCTCTAACCAGTTGACCATCGAAATCATAGGCTAAGAAGTTTAAAGGCCCCTTTAACACATTATATGTCAACTCAATTTTTTATGCATATTCCCGGGGTCTATGATCCAAATCTTTTAATCAGCTGACCATTCAGCTGTCTTTCTAAATATGGGAGAGTTTGTTTATCAAGATCATCCACATAGGCCAAGGAAATTAAAAATAGTAGTAAGCTCATAGAAACTAATTAGTTGTACATGTAGCTTGGTACATGTACTACTCATTTTCCCTTGGTCTATATCCTGATTTACCACGTCACCTCACCCATAGCCCTGGTAACATGTGTGAAAATCGAGTATTGTTTCGTATTGTAAGTTAATCTCTGCTTAGAGGTGGTAAAGCCCATGCAATAATGGTTTGATGATAGTTTGTCTGCAAATGTTGCCCATTGTGCTTCTGATTTATACTCGGTCAAAAAGCGAACGATCTTCTTTTATTACAGTATGTAAGTGTTATATTATATCTTCATCAGAATATCAATATTAGGTTTTCGCGAAATTTATAGATTTTGGATATCATCATCTTTTCATATTCAAGACTACGTATCAGTTAATATGCTTTGCAATGCTGCTTAGCAATCGGTTAAAAACCAAACATTTTTTCCGATTGAACAATGTTTGCGTTCATTATTTTGATGCAACACGAACTCGAAAAAGTTTGAGACAGGCTCCGTGTTTTTATCGCCCTACTGGCGCTTTCCAGTCGATCATTTGTACTGTATAACTAGTAAGTATAATCGTTATTAATGTGTGAACATTCTGAAATACTTTTGAAGATTGCAATTTATATGTTCTTTCCAAAAAACAACATTGTAATTTCCAAATTTTGGAAAGACATATTCAAAATGGCTTCCTTGGAATAGATAATCTAACGTGGACTTTGCCCGCCAGACATAAAAGTTGCTGACGTTTGAATAAATTATTATAATTGGATAAAAAACATCTAGTATTGAGACATACGCAATCATAGTAACTTTATATAGCCAAGTACCAATACTAAATAATACTAATAATAGTGAGTCCAAATTGCATTTATTCTCTCAGTCAGGTTTAGTTCAACGTCGTTAAACTCAATAACGGCGTTCTTTATTATTAGGAATTTTCTTGGGGCCATTATTGAGTTTAACCTCCATGCTATTCTTTCCTTTGATGCAAGTTGTGGATCTATCGAAACCACTTTTCCTCGCTAATATGACACTGATACTTAACAATAATATAAAACCACATTTCATCAGGCGATTTCACATAATATTATTGTGTTAAATGTTCATTTTTAATCGTAAAATGAGTCTTATTCTTACCAATTTATGAGACGAATATTTCAACCGGCAATGTCTGTCTGTGCGTCGCCAAAGTAAACTTGGTCAGCGAAACGAAATTGTTCTTCAATATTGATATTTATTATAACCATCCAGTATGACACGAATCTTTGCTTTATTCAAACAGCGCATGTATTCACCCAAGTTTACTCTATTGTTATTTATAAAAACTTTAAAAAGCAACATTATTGATGCATTTGATTACTGGTAATTTCAGCTCAAAGAAATATAGATGTCATTGATTGTGCTAGATTGTGATTGTGTTGAATAATTGTGCCTAAATATTAAATTATGGTAATTGTTCATGGTTTTCTGCTTGCAAAAACGTACCTAGGAATACACTCAATTGTTTATAACTGGGATCATGTATTTTACTCAGCACACATGCTTTGTAACAATACGGTTACATTTTAATAACTTCAATGTGGTGATGTATTGTGATAAGATTACACGTACAGTGATCTCCCCATGTCACTTTTACCGGGGGCTCCCCCTACTTGAAACCAAAGGCCCCCCAGTTGGCATCTGCACTTCAACTTCTGATTTAAAGAATGAGTGAAGTAAGCACCTACACTGAGATATTGTGAGCGTAGCGAGTGCTGATTTTTTTAGACTTGAAATCTTGCACCCAGTTGAAAATTTTTTTTGGGGAGAACACTGATGTATAAGCATGGTTGTTTTATTCCTAGCTCTTAAATGTATGATGTTCTTAATAAAATTAAACAGAAGTTTTGTTTATGCTATTTTATAAAACATATTTTTCTACAATGATATTTCATTTACTCAATGAGAGAAAAGTTAAACACATGTGTTTTATCACGATATTGGAGCAAGTAAATGTACTTTTAACCTATACTTCACACCTGATTTATCTCGATACCTCCAAATCTGATTTTTTTCAAATCAACACTTTTCAGCTTTTTTCGATCTCATTACTCTAATGTTAAAAAACCTTACTTGATCGTCATTAAACATTCAGTCAAAATGATGTCATACTATCTAGTATTTGAAATGTACATGTAAAAGTACATCAAGAAATATTGCTTCAAATATTGTTGATCAATTTTGAAAAATTTTGTTTGGAAAATGTAAATGCTACTACGGGGAGATTCAACATATAAAGTCACAAAAAGTGAAATATGTTTTCTTGTATTGGACAGATAATATTTTCTTTTACATTATTTTAATTTGCATAACTATGTCATGCTATGTGACCTGAATGAGCCACCTGGTGGTGAAACTGGTAACTACCTACTCGCATCTGAGTTATTACAATGGGAAATCACTGACTTTCTGGGAGAGAAAACTGTGGCACAATATATATTTAAACATGTTAAGAAAAATATCTAATTATTCAGTAATACATGCTTGCGTCTGTCCAAAGATGTTGAAAGCTTTAGCATTTTAGCCAGAAATTTACCATAATTCTGAAAATAAAACAGGAAAAAAAGTAGGAAATTTAATCATGTTTATCGCAAGCCTCCTACAGTATTACAATATTTTGTACTTATATATAGGATAACCGGGGTTCGTTTCGTTTTATGAACTTGTTTCGTTCAGTGTTGCTAACGGCGGTTTATTCCTGAAAGGATTTGCCATTTCGATGTTACCGGAACCAGAACAGAGTTTTCTAAACTAAGTAAAAGCCTTCTCCCAACATTTTCATAATTATACATCGATGAGGTTACAGGGGGGTATGTGATGATTTGTATTTATTCATAAGGTATGTATGCATGCGTTGATCACATTCTTTCTGTAACGATACAATCTTATTACGGTTTAATTAGTTCCGCATGTCGAAACCTGCTGAATGATTAAATGATCGCATCAAGGGCAAAATCATCATGGAAGTTAGACCTAGCCGGGGCCATAAGACATGTCAGATAAGAAACGAGGCCCAGGCTAGGTCTAATGTTGTTGGACTAAGTCAGGTTACAACTTAGAGTCCATTTCACTGTTTAATTGCGTCAGTAAAAGCTAAAAAATAAGAAATCAAAATATCATTTTGCAATAATATGTGGAAAGATATATTCCTATTGTACATGAATGGCATTTGTATATCTTGGATTGCTTCTAGTTTGGCTTATAAAGTGTGTGGCCTCTTATATTTGGATGCTTCTCTGCCATGTTATTTTCAATAAGATTAACATGGCTGGAATTCTTCAAATTACAAGACGGCACAGGCTTATTGCACAAAAAACTAAAAAATCTGAAATATACAAATGTCATTCATGTACATTATGAATATACTTTTCTATATATAATTGCACAATGGTCTCTCAATTTCTTATTTTTGCCATTCTACTGACGCAATGAAACAGTGAAATGGACTCTAGGCTACATGTCACTGACCATTATCCATATGGCTGAGCTATCTCGGCCTATTGCAACAGTTAGTCCTGTCATAACTGTGAGCATGTTGGCGTGTGCAAGGATTCTGACATGATCATGGTATGTTAGATAATATTGCAATGCACCCTACAGTGCTGATATATTAATTGATCAGTCGTTTAATTGGCATATTTTCTTGAATTTTAACATTTAATGTTCCAAACTCCCACAAACTGCAGAAAAGTATACCCCATAAATCATATTTACCAAAATGAGTGTCTCCAAGGCTTCACACCAGCGTATGTATAATGCATTTGTCACGAGTTTGAGCTGAAATTTTGCCAAAATGGAGTAGGCTAAGGGTAGTCTCTGCCAGGTTTGTTTATTGTGGTAAGCTTGTAAGTGCTCAGAAGCAAATAATTCATGTGCGCAAAATAATCAAATAATCTGATTGGTCTAAACTTTGCTGCACATGCGCGCAATGTGTGCCATGTTTTTTCTAGTGATTTCGTTTCGTTTCATGGAGTTTGCGTTTCAGTGTAACTTCCGCAAAAATGGCGGACCATGGACAGAATTAACAGGTAAAATCACTCCGAAATTTCAAGAGAACTTTTTACCTATAATAGCAAAACTTTTGTTTTATTTGTGCATTCTATCTATCAGATAAGAGTCTCAGGGGTATGTAGACAAATTCATTTTGATAGGAGCACTCTGTTTAGTTTGAAAACGCACCCTTAATTATTATATATCAGCACTGTATGACCGTTACAATGTTATGGGCGTGGCACACTGAATGGTGAAGTTTTTTTCCACAGGAGGGACATGATGATGATCCCCCCGAACACTTGTTTTTCGCTTCGCTCAGCTCGTGTTCCATTGTGGTATTAAATCATAGAAACAGCACTATACCCATGGTTATATTCAAGGACATTACTATCACAAGAATACCAAATTTTCATCATGTTTAAATGTACCTTAATATATGTCAATCAAGACTACTATACTACTATGTTGCTACATAAAATCTTAATTAAAATCCTCATATTTTTACCTCATAATCATGTGAACAAACTCTACTTCTCATTCAAGAACGTTTGAGAGCTATATGTGGATGTTGATATAATAGCTTTCCCACTGTGCAATGGGCAGCCTGAAAACAGACCTTGAAAACAGGAAATAATGTGATCAGCGGCTTTCTTTTGGTCTCTAACTGTGTCCTACATCAGTAACATCCGTCTGTGTAATTAATGGAGCGCTGAAGTACTTCTTTTTCAATCAAGACTTGTAATTGTTCGTCAAATGAATGTTTTTTCAAATATGGTGGAGGGTTGCTCAGAAATGTCAATTTCTCAGCCTTCGTTCAGTGGAATCCATGCCTCATGTGCCTTAACTCATGCAGATTGTAAAATTCCTGGGGAGTTTACTCTTGTAAAAAAGTTGACAAACTTTTAAGAAATATATTTCTTCTTGTTTCCTCCCAATTAAATTAATAACATTTTATAAGATGTTTATTTGCATGTTATTAGAATTCATTTGCAGGATGAATTTTAAGTATTTCATAGAAACTGTTAGAATGAATACTTAGGATTTTGCAAGGAATTTACTTTTTGCAATCAGAAATTGTAGTTCATTGAGTAATTCCTTTTGTAATTTCTTTTGAGAAGTGACGTCATTGCGAAACCCCCCACATTCATAAAAGCAAACTGCATGTTAAAAAAAAACTTTCACTTGACGAACACTCTTGGCCAAACAAGTACTTCATCGCTGCAATACTTGCATAGATGGATGGCACTGATGTAGGACACAGTTAGAGACCAGAATAAGCCACTGATCACATTATTCGTGTTTTAAAGGTCACTATTATTCAGCTTTCAATTGCCTGGTGGAGAGCCATAAGTTTCAAAATCCAACATGGCTCTCGAAGTGAATAAATAAATGTCACATGAAGGCTACAGACGCACCAGTCTTCTATAATCACTGCCACAATCAACCCAGGATCCTTACACGAGTTAATAACATGCTCACGGTTGTGAGAAATAACTTGCATTAATATGGTCTTGCATTAACATGGTCTTGACTACTTTCAGGTTGGTTGACATCTGTTAGTGTCAGGTGATGATTAGCTAGTGGTTTGTGTACAAGTTCATTAGGATGCAGTAGCAAACCTTGTGGAGATTCTGAATCAAAAGAATAGGTATGTTTTGTTCTACTACAACAATATATTAAACAATACCATATGTATTGTCTATAGTAGAATCAGGCATGTGCCTTAATGAAAGTAGAAAATTAAATTCATTATTCAAACCATTTGCTGCAGATCCCAGGGATATATGGTTCATTCATATAGTTCATTCATACAATAAAATATCTTAAAATCCGCTCATTTTTCGTCCAACAATGTGACAAGACACTTCAATTTTATTTTCGACTCTAAATAAATATGTCCGCCTGGGGTGATAGTGGATCAACCACCCACATTGCATCATCATCAACGGGTCTCTCGAGGCCAGATCATTTATCACAGTAAACCTAGGGTATACTGTATATGCCACGATAGTGACATAACCTCTAATTATTTTTTAGACATTATTGTTGATACACAGAATATTGATTTGAAATGTCATAAATCATTACACATGAAATGTAAAAAAATATCATTCATTGGGCCCTATCTATGAATTCACTGGCATATTCACATTATTTGTGTTTTAAAGGTCACTATTATTTAGCTTTCAATTGCCTGGTGGAGAGCCATAAGTTTCAAAATCCAACATGGCTCTCGAAGTGAGTAAATAAATGTCACATGAAGGCTACAGACGCACCAGTCTTCTATAATCACTGCCACGATCAACCCAGGATCCTTACACAAGTTAATGACATGTAGTATAGTAGGAACAAGGGGTTCCCATGCACCCATAAGGTGTGAATAAGTTACATACATTTTTGTAATCCCTAGGGTGTCTATTTAATGAATCCATTTGTTAACATTGCCAACTAATGTCCCATAGTACTTTTATGGCGGCATTCAGTTACCATGGTTACACATCTTTAGACATCTTACCTTGGTATCTTAAATCATTTGTAGCTCTGTCATTATTTGGTCTATAGAAATGATATTGGTACCAAATTGAACCTCTTTAAATTTCCAATAAATTTATGATATTCAATTATGCAAATTATCTAATTTGCATAAATTATGACGTCATCAATCTATTTTTGGTTCAGAATTTCCAACTATAGCAACGTATCTATTAGAACTGAGGCCGTATGGCAAAATTTCTGAAAAGTTTTGTCCTTTATTCTATTAGTAGAAGGTATAAGCAACATAAAAGTGAAAACAGATTCAAAATTGAATCAGTATTACGAAAGTTATGTAACTTTCGAGGCAGCTATCGTGAATGTCATTATTTGACAATAATATACATACGTCTTACCTTGGAGTCTTGAATCAATGTAGCTTCGCCATTATTTGGTCTATAGAGATGATATTGGTATCTGATTAAACCTTATTAAATTTACTATATGGTTACAATATTCAGTTTTGCAAATTAGCTAATTTGCATTAATTGTGACGTCATCAATCCATTTTTGGTTCAGAATATCCTAGTATAGCAACATATCTATTAGAACTGAGGCCGTATGACAGAATGTGTGCATAGTTGTGTCCCTTATTTGATGAGTGGAAGATATAAGCAACATTAAAGAGACAACAAATCTTCAAAATTGGATCAGAATTAACAAAATTATCCAGCTTTGGAGGAAGCTACTGTGAACGTCATTGTTTGACAATTATAAAAAGAATATTAAATTAACAAAAAAAGTAACAACCATAGTTGTTTCAATCTTATTGAGTTAAAATGTGCATGTATTGAACTGAACTAATAAGTATGTGGAAAGGTTACATGCATTTTGACTATCATTCACAGGGGTCAAAATGGTTATCTCGACCCTGTATATTAAAGATCCAATCTTATAATTAACCATGCACTTTCAATGATTCATATAAATAGTATACATATAGTCTGCTTTTCATCATATTCTTCATATTCTTGATTCTTAAACGTCTGAAGTATATAGCATGATTAGAAGTGAAGATGATTCATCATATGGTTTATGTAATATTTCTAACATTTCAGATGCTATGGTAGCATCACTTGATAATGAGGTTTTTACATTTCACGTTCTTAATGAGTTAAAAAGAAGTTATTCTCCCTTTGCTTTAGAGATAAATAGTCGCATGAATTTGTTTAGAAAAATTATAACTTAATTAATTTAACCCCCCCCCCCCTGACAGCCCCATATTTGAAGATGTTGGTGAAACCTGGCAAAATACATTAATTATTAGGTTCCAGAAGCCCCCAGAAGCTATATGATGGCCCCCAGTGGCCCCAAGAATCTATACAGGGGCCCCAAGTGGCCCCCAGAAGCTATACTGTGCTCCCAAGAAGCTATATGTTGGCCCCCAGAAGCTGAATAGTGGCCCCCAGGAGCTATACGGTGGCTCCCAGAAGCTATACAGGAAACCCTGTAGCCCCCAGGAGCTAAACGGTGGCGCCCAGAAGCTATACAGGGGCCCCCAGTGGCCCCAAAAAGCTAAACGGTGGCCCCCAGAATCTATATGGGGGCCCCCAGAAGCTATACGATGGCCCCCAGAAGCTATACAAGGGCCCCCAGAAACTATACTATGGTCTCCAGAAGCTATATGGTGGCCCCCAGTGCCCCTCGGAAGCTATATGATGGCCTCCAGAAGCTAATTAGTGGCACCCAGGAGCTATACAGTGGCTCCCAGAAGCTATACAGGGGACCCCAGTGGCCCCAAGAAGCTAAACGATGGCCCCCAGAAGCTATACAGGAGCCCCAAAAAGCTACATGATGGCTCCCAGAATCTATATGATGGCCCCCAATGGCTCCCAGAAGATGTGAAGGGCCCCCAGTAGCCCCTAGAAGCTATACGGTGGCCCTCATAGGCTATATGATGGCCCCCAGAAGCTAAATAGTGACCCTCAGGAGCTATATGGTGGTTCACAGAAGCTACACAATGGCCCCCAGAATCTATATGGTGGCCCCCAATGGCTCCCAGAAGCTATAAAGGGCCCCCCAGTAGCCCTTAGAAGCTATACCGTGGCCCCCAGTGGCCCCGAAAGCTATATAGTGACCCCCAGAAGCTATAAAGGGGCCCACAGTGGCTCCCAGAAGCTATACGATGGCCCCCAGAAGCTATACAGGAGCCCCAAAAAGCTACATGATGGCTCCCAGAATCTATATGATGGCCCCCAATGGCTCCCAGAAGATGTGAAGGGCCCCCAGTAGCCCCTAGAAGCTATACGGTGGCCCTCATAGGCTATATGATGGCCCCCAGAAGCTAAATAGTGACCCTCAGGAGCTATATGGTGGTTCACAGAAGCTACACAATGGCCCCCAGAATCTATATGGTGGCCCCCAATGGCTCCCAGAAGCTATAAAGGGCCCCCCAGTAGCCCTTAGAAGCTATACGGTGGCCCCCAGTGGCCCCGAAAGCTATATAGTGGCCCCCAGAAGCTATAAAGGGGCCCACAGTGGCTCCCAGAAGCTATACGATGGCCCCCAGAAGCTATGTAAGGGCCTGCAGAAACTGTACTGTAGCCCCCAGAAGCTATACAGGGGCCCCCAGTGGCTCCCAGAAGCTATACGATGGCCCCCAGAAGCTATGCAAGGGCCCGCAGAAACTATACGGTAGCCCCCATAAGCTATACGATGGCCTCCAGAAGCTATACAGTGTTCCCCAATGGGCCACCATATAGCTTTGGGGGCCACCGTATAGCTTCTAGGGGCTACTGGGGGCCCTGTATAGCTTCTGGGAGCCATTGGGGGCCATCATATAGATTCTGGGGGCCATCGTGTAGCTTCTGGGGGCTGCTGTATAGCTTCTGGGGGCCATCGTATAGCTTCTTGGGGCCACTGGGGTTCCCTGTATAGCTTCTGGGTGCCACCGTATAGCTCCTGGGGGCCACTAATTAGCTTCTGGGGGCCATCATATAGCTTCTGAGGGCCACTGGGGGTCACCATATAGCTTCTGGAGACCACAGTATAGTTTCTGTGGGCCCTTGTATAGCTTCTGGGGGCCATCGTATACCTTCTGGGGGCCACTTGGGGCCCCTATAGATTCTTGGGGCCACTGGGGGCCATCATATAGCTTTTTAGGGCTTCTGGAACCTAAAAATTAATGTATTTTGCCAGGTTTCACCAAAATCTTCAAATATGGGGGCTGTCAGGAGGGGGTTAAATTAATTTTTTTAAACAAATTCATGTGACTATTTATCTCTAACGCAAAGGGAGAATAACTTATTTTAACTCATTAAGAACGTGAAATGTAAAAACCTCATTATCAAGTGATGTTACCATAGCATCTGAAATGTTAGAAATATTACATAAACCATATGATGAATCATCTTCACTTCTAATCATGCTTTATACTTCAGATGCTTTAAGAATCAAGAATATGAAGAATATGATGAATATGATGAAAATCAGACTATATGTATACTATTTATATGAATCATTGAAAGTGCATGGTAAATTATAAAATTGGATCTTTAATATAAAGGGTCGAGATAACCGTTTTGACCCCTGTGAATGATAGTCAAAATACATGTAACCTTTCCACATACTTATTAGTTCAGTTCAATACATGCACATTTTTACTCAACAAGATTGAAACAACTATGGTTGTTACTTTTTTTTGTTAATTTAATATTCTTTTTATAATTGTCAAACAATGACGTTCACAGTAGCTGCCTCCAAAGCTGGATAATTTTGTTAATTCTGATCCAATTTTGAAGATTTGTTGTCTCTTTTATGTTGCTTATATCTTCCACTCATCAAATAAGGGACAAAACTATGCACACATTCTGTCATACGGTCTCAGTTCTAATAGATATGTTGCTATACTAGGATATTCTGAACCAAAAATGGATTGATGACGTCACAATTAATGCAAATTAGCTAATTTGCATAACTGAATATTGCAACCATATAGTAAATTTAATAAGGTTTAATCAGATACCAATATCATCTCTATAGACCAAATAATGGCGAAGCTACATTGATTCAAGACTCCAAGGTAAGACGTATGTATATTATTGTCAAATAATGACATTCACGATAGCTGCCTCGAAAGTTACATAACTTTCGTAATACTGATTCAATTTTGAATCTGTTTTCACTTTTATGTTGCTTATACCTTCTACTAATAGAATAAAGGACAAAACATTTCAGAAATTTTGCCATACGGCCTCAGTTCTAATAGATACGTTGCTATAGTTGGAAATTCTGAACCAAAAATAGATTGATGACGTCATAATTTATGCAAATTAGATAATTTGCATTATTGAATATCAGAAATTTATTGGAAATTTAAAGAGGTTCAATTTGGTACCAATAACATTTCTATAGACCAAATAATGACAGAGCTACAAATGATTTAAGATACCAAGGTAAGATGTCTAAAGATGCGTAACCATGGTAACTGATGCCGCCATAAAAGTACTATGGGACATTAGTTGGCAATGTTAACAAATGAATTCATTAAATAGACACCCTAGGGATTACAAAAATGTATGTAACTTATTCACACCTTATGGGTGCATGGGAACCCCTTGTTCCTACTATACTAATGCTCACGATTGTGAGAAATAACTTGCATTAATATGGTCTTGCATTAACATGGTCTTGACTACTTTCAGGTTGGTTGACATCTGTTAGTGTCAGGTGATGATTAGCTAGTGGTTTGTGTACAAGTTCATTAGGATGCAGTAGCAAACCTTATGGAGATTCTGCATCAAAACAATAGGTATATTTTGTTCTTCAACAACATAATATTAAACAATACCATATGTATTGCCTATAGTAAAATCAGGCATGGGCCTTAATGAAAGAAGAAAATTAAATTCATTATTCAAACCATTTGCTGCAGATCATAGGGATATATGGTTCATTCATATAGTTCATTCCTACAATAAAATATCTTAAAATCCGCTCATTTTTCGTCCAACAATGTGGCGAGACACTTCAATTTTATTTTTGACTAGATAAATATTTCCGCCTGGGGCGATTATCCAGAGGATCAACCACCCAAAAAAACAACAACAACAAAAACAAGGGAACATACTGATGTTGATAAATATTCATGGATTATGTTGTGAGGGTCAAATGACTGTACATCAGTTTGATTTGCTCTGAAATGAGTAACTGCTTCATTGACAAAACTTGCTTTATTGCAGATATGATATAAATCTAGATGTGGGCCCTATAATGAAAGAAGTCACAAGAGGAATTTAGAAGGGGGCCTAAATTATATAACCAAAACTGATAGAGGTAATTAAATTGCATTTATAGTCCACGTGTCTTACTTTAACAAAATAGAACATTCGTAAAACAAAACAACATATTATACAATAGTTTCACTTTCTTGTGAATGTTTTAAAATTTAGATTGCGATTTTCAAAAATTTGGATTGCAATTATTATCAAAACATTTGTTCTGACTTTCAAAAATGCTGCAGTTTATAATGATATTGTACAGTAACTTGTAAAATTTACATTTTTGGTAGAGTGAAATATGACAGATGTTACAAAGAAAAGGAGTGTTGCAAAGAAAAGGAGAAAAAATGCTTACAAAAGTGCATACAAACTACATGTGTACCTCACTGGTAAGTAGCTTAATGACGAATGTGATGTAAATTCTGGAATTTTTCAAGTTTATTGATCTCCAGGGGTGAGATGGGTCGAAAAATCTGATTCAGTTTAAGTTTGATTTGGGTCAGCAGAATGGAGATTTAGGTTACAACTCCAATTTGGGTTGTGCGGGCAGTGAATTTTAAGAAAAGTTTGATATTGTTTGTTGAATGACATAGCAAGGTCTCTTCACATTTTGAAGATTTTTTTTGTTACTTTAGAGATAACTTCCAATAAATATGATATGATATTAATAATTTAATGACAAATATTTAGATTGCTTCTAAATTATAAATCAATTAATCAATGCAATCTACTGTAGGCAGATGTAAATATAGATGATATGTGTGATTCCTCTCCTAGATGATGGGTCACACATTTTGTTAACCACATACGGAAAAATTGAAAGTTAAATCACTGCACATTTTTATTTATAATGTAAATATGCGTTTTCCCCTATTGTTTCACTAAAATAAATTTCTTGATGAATGTTATTTTTTGTAACTTCAGCCTATTTAAAGGAGGGAGGAGGAGGGAGTTGGAGTAAAGTCCTGCTGGACCGAAAAGACTACCCTTGTGAAACAAGCATATCTGGCAAATCATTGTCTGATGTACCATGTTTGATAAAGCCAGGCCTAGCTTGCCTTGAATCCGAATCAAGGAGGAATATTTGGTTTAATCATGTGGAAGAGACTCACATTTTATCTTCGACAGCTTCAAGCTTACCTGACAGTGAATCTGATTGTATTGATGTAAATGCTTGGTCTGATCAACCTAATGAGTCTGTTGCAGATTCGTTTAAATATGGTGTGAACATTTGGTTTAATCAAGTGCTCTTGAATGGTTTAGACTTTGCAGAAAAAAGTGTAAATCTTGAAAATATTTTATATTTTCATAAAAACCTGAGTTGGTGTGATGATACAGTGTTTCCCTTTCCTATTAATGTACCTATCCCGAGAACAATTAATGGTGCAGAGTATACCATTGAAAATGTCAAGGATCTGGTCATGAAGGAATTAATAAACAATAATTTGATGGATTTTTATGGTAGTCTCCTCAAAACTCTTCCCCAAGCAATTCCTACTTTTTTCATTAACAGTTCTTACCCTAAACGTTGTCATGATAACTTAGCTAATGAAATCAAGTCATTCAAAAAGAAAATGTTTCAGATTATTTTCATGAACTTTGTTGGTACACTTGGCAACAAAGTTGATTTTAATACAACTGAAATATCTGCCACTCACTTCACCTTTTGTGTTTATCAGTCTTGGAATCATTCAGTGGTGTATTGTGACTCTCTCGGATGGAGCATGCCTGAATCCCTCCCTGGAATAATTCAGTATACCCTCCAGAACCTTTCACTTGATGAAAATCCGAAATACAAGTATGGACATGTTCCTAACAAAGTTGAGGATTTTTCTAACTCACCCCATGTCTGTCAGGCCAAATGTTCCCAATATATGCCCCTGCAGGTTTGCAATGAAATTTGCGGAGTTGCAGTGATTATCAGCTTTGTTATTGCCACACTTGACCCAGTGCTATTTAAAGCAATGGTGTTTAACGAAAAGCATGAAAATGTAGAGAAGCTGAGATACCTGCATGAGATATCTGATTTCAATGATCAGTTGAGATTAGTCCTCATTGATTGGCTGGTATCATATAACATTGATTTGAGACAGATATTTAAAGCATCATTGTCGTCCACCCAACCCCTTTGATACAGATCCTTTTAAGTCTTACTTACAGGGTATAGAAACGCGTCCAGTATTTTCGTCTGGTACAACTGAAAATACTGGACGCAGACCTCCATTTTTGATCCAGAGTGAGGTAGGTGTAATTTTATTTTACTTGGCAGCCTGTGAACGTTTTATAGTGTGCCCTTACCTAAAAACAGGTCATAGAAGACTGGACGAAATAAAAAATGTACTGGATCTGGATGCGAGCCTCTGTTAATACAGGATGACTTGCGTCCAGTACATTTTCATTTCATCCGATATTTCTTTACACTTCATCATTTTCTATTTTCGATCATTTCAAAGCTAAAATCTGTCGACTGGAAGCTGTATTCTTATTCCATACACAAGAAAATTGCATATCTTGTCAATGAAATGGTAAATAAAAAGAAATCTGACTTAGTTTGTGTATTTCCTGCGAAAAATCAAAGTATTTCTGTGCTTAACCCCACATTACAAAAAATCTAGATGAATGGCTGTCATTTTATAATAACTGTGTGTTCTTCAGTGTACTGGGAATCTGATGTAGAGCCTGTTTCTAGGTTAGGAAATGCTGTAAAACGATCACAAGCTACCAATTAAAATCACACCTACCTCTCTCTGGATCTAAAAATGGAGGTCTGCGTCCAGTATCTTGGTTTGTACCAGACAAAAATACTGGACGCGTTTCTACTCCCTGACTTAAACTGCCCCATTTCATTTAAAAATTGTCATTGGTTATTTTCTTTACAATGTGGCAGCTCAAGAGCTAGTTACACCACCATCTGAATGATTTCCTCATGTTTGTAAACAAGGGTGATCAATGAGTAAGAGACACTTTTTAGTCATTCTTAAAATTAATATTGCTACATACTTTCAGGTTCAACAAATAAGTAAGATTGTGAAAATTAGAAAGCTTCCGAATTATTTTAATAACCACTTTGCACATGAAAAACAACATCGCTCTCAATTGGTTTGGACTAGATAACATGCTAAATAAAAGGTTCTTGCAATTTCAATGGCATCAGGACATTTTTATTTATGTGAACCATTGTCGTAATTTGAACTTGAAGTGTCCAAAAATGAAACGCTAAATCATCATTATGTCATAAAATCATGCATAATTTCAAATGAAATCAAAGGCATATTGTCTCTTGGTTCATTTTACATGATATCTAATAAAAATGGATTCATACTGAAATTATGCATGATTTTGTAACAACTAAGGTTAGGTAGCATCATAATGTAATAAAGTCATGCACAATTTCTATATAAGTTCTAAATGTACACTCAGCTGTAATTGTGGAAAATACTATTAAAATTGCATCTGCGAAGAGGATTAAAATTGTGCATGGTTTTGTTACAACAATTTCACAGCATTTCTGTGTTGTGTCTAATATTGCTATTTTCAAGTACAAGTATGTGTAAATACTTTTGGTGTAAAAAGTTTTTACAGAGTGTTAAAAGTAAGTTATTCTGAGATGGAACGCTACCAGCATCATAATGTCATAAAATCATGCACAATTTCTGTAGGCCTTTAAGTTCTCTTAGACTATTAAATGTACACTCATGTAATTTTGGGAGATTCTACTAAAATTGTGCATGGTTTTATAACAACAATTTCACAGCATTACTGTTTTGTGTCTTAACTTGTATGCCAAAAGGACTGGATGCAAATAGTGTCATTTTTCAAGTACAAGTATGTTTGTATATATATTTAGTTTTGGTGAAAGCCTTTTCAGTGTTTTGAAGTTGAATTGTTCTGAAATGGATCTCTACTAGAATCATAATGTAATAAAATCATGCACAATTTCTATATAAGTGCTCTTAGACTATTAAATGTACTCCCAGGTGTAATTGTGGGAGATTCTACTAAAATTGTGCATGATTTTATTACAACAATTTCACAGCATTTCTGTGTTGTGACTAAACTTGTATGCCAAAGAATTGGCAGCAAATATTGCCATTTTTCAAGTACAAGTATGTATATATATATATATAGTTTTGGTGAACGGCTTTTCAGTGTTTTGAAGTTAAATTGTCCTGAAATGGAACGCTACCATCATCATAATGTAATAAAATCATGCACAATTTCTGTATAAGTTCTCTAGACTATTCCTAGACTATTAAATGTACACTCATGTCATTGTGGGAGATTCTACTAAAATTGTGCATGGTTTTATTACAACAATTTCACAGCATTTCTGTGTTGTGACTGAACTTGTATGCCAAAGAATTGGCAGCAAATATTGCCATTTTCAAGTACAAGTATGTATACATATATATTTAGTTTTGGTGAAAGGCTTTTCAGTGTTTTGAAGTTGAATTTTTCTGAAATGGAACGCTACTAACATCATAATGTAATAAAATCATGCACAATTTCTGTATAAGTTCTCTTAGACTATTAAATGTACACTCATATGTAATTGTGGGAGATTCTACTAAAATTGTGCATGGTTTTATTACAACAATTTCACAGCATTTCTGTGTTGTAACTAAACTTGTATACCAAAGAATTGGCAGCAAATATTGCCATTTTTCAAGTACAAGAATGTATATATATATATAGTTTTGGTGAAAGGCTTCAGTGTTTTGAAGTTGAATTGTTCTGAAATGGAACGCTACTAGAATCATAATGTAATAAAATCATGCACAATTTCTGTACAAGTGCTCTTTGGCTTAAATGTACACTACGTTGTAATTGCGGGAGATTCTACTAAATTGTGCATGGTTTTATTACAACAATTTCACAGCATTTCTGTGTTGTGTCTAAACTTGTATGCCAGAGAATTGGCAGCAATTATTGCTATTTTTCAAGTACAAGTATGTATATAGTTTTGGATAAAGGCTTTTTAGTGTTTGGGAGTCAAATTGTTCTGAAATGGAACGCTACAAGCATCATAATGTAATAAAATCATGCACAATTTCTGTATAAGTTCTCTTAGACTATTAAATGTACTCTCTTGTAATTGTGGGAGATACCACTAAAATTGTGCATGATTTTATTACAACAATTTCACAGCATTTCTGTGTTGTAACTAAACTTGTATACCAAAGAATTGGCAGCAAATATTGCCATTTTTCAAGTACAAGAATGTATATATATATATATAAAGTTTTGGTGAAAGGCTTTTCAGTGGTTTGAAGTTGAATTGTTCTGAAATGGAACGCTATTAGCATCATAATGTAATAAAATCATGCGCAATTTCTGTATAAATTCTCTTTGACTTTTAAATGTACACTCTGGTGTAATTGTCGGAGATTTTTCTAAAATTGTGCATGATTTTATTACAACAATTTCACAGCATTTCTGTGTTGTGACTAAACTTGTATACCAAAGAATTGGCAGCAAATATTGCCATTTTTCAAGTACAAGTATGTATATAGTTTTGGTGAAAGGCTTTTCAGTGTTTTGAAGTTAAATTGTTCTGAAATGGAACGCTATTAGGATCATAATGTAATAAAATCGTGCACAATTTCTGTATAAGTTCTCTTCTTAAATGTATTCTCAGGTGTAATTGTGGGAGATTTTTCTAAAATTGTGCATGGTTTTATTACAACAATTTCACAGCATTTCTGTGTTGTGACTAAACTTGTATGCCAAAGATATGGTAGCAAATATTGCCATTTTATAAGTACAACTATATATTTCTTTTTTTCCGTGAAAGCTTTTACAGTGTGTTTGATCATAAACAACAGTTTAATATTTTCATGTCACGCAAATATTTACCATTGTCATCATTTAGGACTCCAGAATAATTGTTAGAAAATACTCTATTTTTGGAGGAGGCCAATTGACTATTGAAGTCTGTGTGATATTTGTTAGCAGTGTCGGAGACTTTACCCTGTATTATTAGCTCATTGTTCTTTTGTACTTGAGATTTGTAGTTCACGCCTTAGATTTACAAGCCTGTAAAACTATCTCCTTTTGTTGTTTTTAGAAAGCTGGTTGTTGCAGGCTTGAAACCTAAATTGTGGAATTAAGATTTTTCTATAGTGTGTGATTGCCAAATAACTCCCAATGAACATATGACATACATATTTTTTTATGATCACAGTGGTGAATAATATGCTGAGTAATATTTTAATTGGTGCCCTATATATTTTTCAATTAAAACATAGGCCTAACAATATTTTGTAAGAATGGGTGCTTTAAACATTACTGTAGTTTGTAAGATTGAATTCTATATACAGAAATAAAATTGTTATCCATTTGGTTCATTTTACATGATATCTAATAAAAATGGATTCATACTGAAATTATGCATGATTTTGTAACAACTAAGGTTAGGTAGCATCATAATGTAATAAAGTCATGCACAATTTCTATATAAGTTCTAAATGTACACTCAGCTGTAATTGTGGAAAATACTATTAAAATTGCATCTGCGAAGAGGATTAAAATTGTGCATGGTTTTGTTACAACAATTTCACAGCATTTCTGTGTTGTGTCTAATATTGCTATTTTCAAGTACAAGTATGTGTAAATACTTTTGGTGTAAAAAGTTTTTACAGAGTGTTAAAAGTAAGTTATTCTGAGATGGAACGCTACCAGCATCATAATGTCATAAAATCATGCACAATTTCTGTAGGCCTTTAAGTTCTCTTAGACTATTAAATGTACACTCATGTAATTTTGGGAGATTCTACTAAAATTGTGCATGGTTTTATAACAACAATTTCACAGCATTACTGTTTTGTGTCTTAACTTGTATGCCAAAAGGACTGGATGCAAATAGTGTCATTTTTCAAGTACAAGTATGTTTGTATATATATTTAGTTTTGGTGAAAGCCTTTTCAGTGTTTTGAAGTTGAATTGTTCTGAAATGGATCTCTACTAGAATCATAATGTAATAAAATCATGCACAATTTCTATATAAGTGCTCTTAGACTATTAAATGTACTCCCAGGTGTAATTGTGGGAGATTCTACTAAAATTGTGCATGATTTTATTACAACAATTTCACAGCATTTCTGTGTTGTGACTAAACTTGTATGCCAAAGAATTGGCAGCAAATATTGCCATTTTTCAAGTACAAGTATGTATATATATATATATAGTTTTGGTGAACGG